GTTGCTGAGTCTGCGTCTGTCTGTCCTCCGTCCGTCGGGGGTGAGTGTGCTCTTGGCACGGACGTCCTTGAGGACAGGCAAGAGGAGTTCCAGTGTCTGGCTGCTGCTTCACCTCATCTCGTGTCCGTACTGCTTACCCCTAAGGGAGACCCAGATGCACTTGACATCTCGACTCCGCGCTCTTACGCGGAGGCCGTAGAGGGTCCCTACTCCTCTCAGTGGCAGGCAGCTATGGATTCAAAGATGGCTTCCTGGAAGTCCACAGGCACCTACGTTGATGCGGTTGCCCCTCCTGGGGCGAACATCGTCAGTGGCATGTGGATCTTCAGGGTGAAGCGGCCGCCGGGCTCTCCGCCTGTCTTCAAGGCGCGGTACGTGGCTCGTGGCTTCAGTCAGCGGCAGGGAGTTGACTACTTTCAGACCTTCTCTCCCACCTCGAAGATGACCACTCTTCGGGTGCTGCTACACATATCCGCTCAGCGTGACTACGAGCTTCATTCCCTTGACTTCAGCACTGCTTTCCTGCAGGGTAGCCTGCACGAGGAGATCTGGCTACGCCGTCCACCTGGCTTCACTGGGACTTTTCCTCCTGGCACCCAGTGGAGCCTCCGACGGCTAGTCTACGGTCTCCGCCAGGCACTGCGCGAGTGGCACGACACACTGAGGACTACGCTTGCGGCTCTTGGGTTTGCTCCCTCTACTGCTGACCCGTCGGTGTTTCTACGCACCGACACCTCTCTGCCGCCGTTCTACATCCTCGTGTACGTCGACGACTTGGTCTTTGCCACTGCTGACACTGCTGGACTCGCCCACGTGAAGTCCGAGCTGCATAAGAGACACACGTGCACAGACCTGGGTGAACTGCGCAGCTACCTTGGCTTGCAGATCACCCGGGACAGAGCACGCCGCACCATTACCCTGACTCAGTCACACATGGTGCAGCAGGTCCTTCAGCGCTTCAGCTTCACGTACTCCTCGCCTCAGGCCACTCCTCTGCCTACTTGCCACTCACTCTCAGCTCTGCCTTCGGATGAGTCCGTAGACTCGAGTGGCCCGTATCCAGAGCTTGTTGGCTGTCTCATGTACCTGATGACCTGCACACGAACTGACCTTGCATACCCTCTTAGCATTCTCGCACGCTATGTTGCTCCTGGGAGACACCGAGTAGAGCACATGGCTACAGCGAAGAGGGTGTTGCGCTACTTGTGCAGTACGTCGGGCATGGGGCTAGTGCTTGGAGGGCGGAGTCCAGTGGTCCTCACTGAGCACGCAGACGCTTCTTGGGCTGACATCCAGGCTACGCAGCGGTCGTCACAGGGTTACACCTTCAGCCTTGGTTCCGGCTCTGTTTCGTGGCGGGCTACTCGCTCGTCTTCTGTTCTCGGCTCCAGTTGTGAGGCCGAGATCTACGCCGGGGCCATGGCTGCACAGGAGCTTCCCTGGCTCACTTACCTGCTGACCGACCTTGGAGAGCCGCCTCGTTCTCCTCCAGTCCTGTACGTAGACAACAAGGCCATGCTGGCCTTGTGTTGAGAGCAGAGACTGGAGCACAGAACAAAGCACATTGCTCTTCGCTACTTCCTTGCTCGTGAGCTACAGCAGTGTGGTCGGTTGCGGCTTGCGTACGTGGCCTTTGAGGCCAATACTGCTGATGTTTTCACCAAGGCACTTGCGCCTTGTGATCATCAGCGCTTCTGTACTCAGCTTGGTCTTGTGCCTGTCTTGCCTCACTTGCTCACTTCTTGACCTTGCTTGTACTCTCACATATATATACTCCTGCTCTTGCTTGCTTAGCCTCTTATATATATGTGCTCCTGCATGTGATTTGGCCTTCTGGCCTTGAACTTGTGCTCGGAATGTGTGGTGATTTTGTGATCCACCCTGAGCTTTGCTTTGCTTTGCTTGACTGGTCTTGTGACCCCTTGTTCTCCCCCACTTTGCCTATGGGGGTGTGTCAAATTATAATGTTGTGTAGGCTATAGTGGGGCAGCCCATATGGGGTACACATCTCTAGGGTTGCATATTTGTATCACTTTCATTCCATAGTCATTCATTCTCATTCTAATTTCTTCAGGGTGAAACAGATAAGGGTACGTTCTTGGCTGGTGTCTAACTTTGGGCCAAGCTGCTTGACATGAGGTGAAATTGACGGGCATGAGGGAAACCTTTCGATTTGTGTTAGACGTTCATGGAAGGGTCTGACACCAGGCAAACTTGGCCTGAAGCTAGACACCAGCCAAGAACGTACCCTAAGATGTAAACGAGACATAGAATCACACGAGGGGAGAAATTACTAAATGGGGTGCTAGCTGTTGCGAATAGCACACGCATCACGTGCTACCCACTTTGGCACTCCAACCCCTTCCCCTCAAAACACTCTCGTAACTTTCCTTCCTACCTTCCCAAAATTACCCAACCCCTCCAAACCCATTCAAATTACCCAACCACCAAGACTTTCCTTTTCCAACTCATCTTTTCCAAGCCAAGCCCACCGACTCCTCCTTAACTATCTCCAACCACCATAGCCTTTCCTAGTCCAACTCAACCAATATTCAAACCAACTTCCCATACTCATCCTCAAGTCCCACCATAAGGCACACGACTCCTCATAATTTTCCATATGCTTTCCTTTCCTACTTATCAAAGTTTACCCAAGTCATTTACCTCCTCCAATCATCCTCCCCCCATATGCCTTCAAGCACATGCTTCCACTTCCTAGTCATCAACCTCCACATGCCTCTCATTTATTCCTTCCTTCCTTCCTTTCCCAAGTCACCAAAGTTGCCACCTCATCCCTAAGGACTTCATGATTATCTCATCACCTCCTATTCCAAGGCAACAAAGCTCATCATCTCCACTCATCCTTAACCAACTCACTAAGCTCTCTTCCAACTCAACAAGGCTTACACAACCACCACCACATGCTCCAATACTGTTCATCTACATCAAGCATCTCTACAACTTCTCAAGAAGGTTCTTCAATGACAACAATGCCTCTCAAGCTTCTTCATCAAGCTCCTCTCCAAGCTTATTCCAAGCTTCTCCTTCAAGCTCCTCTTCAACTACAAAGGCTCCTCACTAGCAACCAAGTTTCAATGTCTCCAAAGTTGATATTCTCATGCTACTCTCTTCCAAGGCTACCATTGATGGTTACTCTCTCTATTCATGCCTATGTATCCCTCATGGATCTATAAGGCTTGTACTATACCTCTTTCAATATAATTTTATGCTCATAAAGTTCCTTTCTACCTAGACTACAAAGTAGCTATCAAGTGAAGAGTCGCTTACCTCATGCTCATAAGGAAGCTCCAAGCTACAAGCTAAAGGAAGGACCATCATCCTACCCAAGGCTTGAAGTTACTCCCAAGTAAAGCTCTCTCAAGCTCTTCTCTCAAGTTACCTCTTCGATTATCCCTAGTAAGATTCACTTAAGTAAGAATTTATCACCACTCTCATTCTCTCAACAAGCTCACGCTCTTCTTCTCTTCTAATTTCTTATCTCATCAAGCATTCCACTTTACACAAGTTTCTCTTTATAGTTACAAGTTTTAAGCTTCATCTTCTATTCTATTAAGCTCATCCTCACATGCTACAGTTCCACTGTTCACCCTCGTCTTATTCTAGTGTGCAATCATACCCTTTTGTCTTTATCTCAATTCTCTACACTAGCTACGGTAGTTGTTTCGTATAGCTCGCAAGGAAGCAAAAGCAGGAGGGAAATCAACTGAGAACGGAGAGAATGGAAGGATGTGGAGGGAAGTGGAACAAACTGACAAGAAATGCCTGGGGAGATTTACTCAAACTCTCAAATGTTTTATTAGAAAGGTAAAAAAAGTTGATAAGATGAGGCAAAAAATGGGACGCTGGGTCGCGAAACAATAGCAGCCATTGCCTTCTGGGTCAGCATTGTTCTTCTGTCTCTTCTCCTCCCGTCGCTCGGCGCGCTCTCTCAGTTCGCCAGTAGGCTGCAGCGATGCCATGGATATTAAAATTTTCTTAAAGCTGCGGTCTACCACTTCGAGGGGTTTTTGGGGGCATTTTTAGTACTAACCCTTTGGCCTGTGTTCATTGGATTGCGAAGTGAATGTTTCCCTCAATCACCAGTGCGATGAACTCGAACAAGGTTGGTGAGCCCAACCACATTTCGTGACAGGGTTGGGTTGGGGGAAGGAACGGCGGAGAAGGTTGGAAGAGGGGAAGGAACAGCAGCCCGTAACGGCGGAGAAGGTTGGAAGAGGGGAAGTTCTAAACCTGTGTATTTTCATATCGACGCCCTTCAATAGGACCTAGTTACTAACCGTTCATCACACGCATGCAAGCCTTCACTAGCACGATCCGCGCTGAGTAAAATAGGCGACTGTGGCGAACAGAGCACATCAGGTACGAAGCGGCAGTGTCGACAAGGTGCGCAAGCTGATGTGTTAGAGTAGCCGCGTTAGGCCATGGAGACCGCATGAATTTAGGCACGCGCATTTTGGAACGCCCGATCCGCCCCCGTCGTGTTTCTCAGGTCGCTACTTCCCAATCCGCCACCGTCGCACCTCCACGCAGCCGCCCGTAGCGTGGCCTCTCATGTCTCCTTGCAACGTCGCGGCTGCGTTGCAGCTTCGTCGCGGTATCTTCGCCACAGTGCGCCATCCTTGCCGCTTCACGTCGTGTCGCCATGGCTGCGAAAATTTCGCCACGGGGCAGCCTCGCTGCCAACACACCGTGTCGCGAACGTCGCTCCCTACGCGCCACGCCGCCTTTAGTGCGCATCCTCCGCACCCTCTTTCCCCCTCCCCAAAGTCGCATACCATCCTGGCCGTTTCACCTCCACCTTTACCGCACCACCTCATTGCCGCATCACCAATTCCAAGAGGCCTCTCACCCCTCCCCCAGTTCGCACCTCCCGCAAATCCCCTTACCCGCAAGTCGCACCCCCCTTTTCCCCCAGGTCGCGCCTCCATTTTCCCCCAGGTCGCACCTCCCTTTTCCCCCAAATCGCACCTCCTCCTCCTATGTCCTCCCGTCCCTCACTCCCATCTTCCTATCCCCCCCAACCCCTCTCTCAGCTCAATCCATCTCCTCACTTCCCTCTCCCCCTACTGTCCCTCATGTCCCCCGCTCCTTCCCCCCATTTCACCCCTCCGTGCCCTCATTCCCATCCCTCCCCCTCGTCTCACCATTCCTACCCCGTTTTCCCACCACTTTCCCTTGTTTTTTCCCCTCCCCCCATCAGCCCTCCGCGCCTGCAGCCTCGTCACCGCCACGGAACAGCCAGCTGCACGTTTGACGAGGTGCGCGAGATGTGGCCATTCAAGAGCCAGTGCCTTTCCTCATCCCTCCGAACCTCTTCCTCTCCGCCCTCCAGTAGTGGTGAGTGCATGCGTAGTGAGTGATGTGGCAATAGTCCCCTGGCAGCAGCGTGGGTGCGAGGGGCAGAGGCGTGGCGAGTGCGCGTAACGGGAGGGAAGTGCATCGTGCAGTCAACTGCGCTCACACGAATCCGCGCACCTGGCTTGCACACCTCCGTCATCCTCTCTCTCCCCTGTCATCCTCTCCTCCCCTTGTCTTCCTCCCACGCTTATCATCCTCTCCCCCCCACACCTCCTCCCCCCCCTGTTCTCCTCTGTCTCCACCGTCATCCTCTCTCCCCCTGTCCTCCTCTCCCCCCCCTGTCCCCCTCTCTCCCCCCTGTCCTCCTCTCTCCCCCTTGTCCTCCTCTCTCCCCCCTGTACTCCTCTCTCCCCCCTGTCCTCCTCTCTCCCCCCTGTCCTCCGTCCCCCCCCCCCAAGTCCTCCTCCGTCCCCGCTGTCCTCCTCTCACCCCCTCCTATCCCCTCCCCGTCCAGTCCACTCCCCTGGCGTCGATGGTGCACACCCGATGAGCCTCAGGGTGCGCATCCTCTACTCCATATCCCTTCCCCCCTTTTTCATTCCCCCCATAACCCTCTCCCCCGTTTACCTTCCCCCTGTTCCCCTCCCCCCCACTTCCCGACCCCCCTTTTCCCGTCCCCCCTTTTCCCTTCCCACCGTTTCTCTTCCCCTCGCTTCCCTTCCTCCCGTATCCCTTCCCCCCGTTTCACATCCCCCCACTTTCAGTCCCTCCTTTTTCCCGTCCCCCCTTTTCCCGTTCCCCCTTTCCCCTCCCTCCCGTCTCCCTTACCCTCGTCCCCCTACCCCCCGTCTCCCTTCCTCTGTCTCCTCTATCCCCCATGTCCTCCTCTCTCACCCCTGACATCCTCTCCCCCCCCTATTCTCCTCTCTCTACTGTATCATCCTCTCTCCCTTCTATCATCCTCTCTCATCCTCTGTCTTCCTCGCTCCCCACTGTCATCCTCTCCCCACCTTGTCCTCCTCCCCCCCTGTCCTCCTCCCCCCCTTGACCTCCCCTCTCCCCCCTGTCATCCTCTCTCCCCCCTGTCCTCTCCCCTCCCCCCTGTCCTCCCCGCTACCCTTCACTGTACCCCTTCCTCCCCATCCCACCTCCCTGCCCCCCCATGTCTCCTGGACCCTTCCATTCGCTTACATTCTTGTATGATCCATGTTTGGTTGTTCTTCAACCTTTCCCCCCCTGTCCACTGTGCGTCAAGGCGCAACTTCACAGGCCCAACCCCCCACCAAACTAAGGGCGTATCCCTGGGTGGTGGCAGGGCAACTGTAGCAGTCACTGTTGGTGGCATGCGGGAAAACCGCATGCCATCAACTTTGTGCCCGAACCGCCCGCGGCTCGCAGTTCGTGGCAACCACAACAAAATGTGCGAAAGTCGCACACGGAAAGAACCAACCAATCACAACAAGCGTGCGATACCACTCCAAATGTCCAACCGGTTAATAAAATCTGGGTTCTTCGAAACCTGGCACCGGCAACAGCTAAACTTGACGCTCACGAAAGGCCTGTAAATTGGCAGGCATGAAGTGGTTGAGAGAAATGCAATATTGGCAAACTGTAAAAATAACGCTCCTTGACAACCTCCTGCAACTCATCTTGACAGGACGACCACCGAGATGCGCTGCGCGCCGCTCAGCCAATACCACGCCGCTGACATGAGGGGTCCAAAGGCAGTCGACGCACACTCCAGATGCGCGTCCTCTTCACCGCCTTATTCCGTCCCTCATGTCCTCCCTGTATGGTCTCTTGTTCTGCATAGCTGTGAACCTATTGTATGGGTTCTATCTAGATAGCTTCAACCGTACAGTGGCCATTGGTGCCCTGCAGTGGATAGCAATGCAAGGCGCTACTCAGGCTACGAACGATGAGGCGGCCGCGGAAGAGCGGAGGAGGATCGAACGCCTTCAGCGTCAGCGGAAGGAGCGCCGCGCACGACGCATGGCGGAATGGCTGATTGAGCTCTGCATTATGGAGGACGATGACTTTGTCAACGTCTTCCGCATCTCGCCTAAACTGCTGGAGTACATTGCACCTGTCATGGCCCTCCCCATGAGCCACTTCGTTGAGAAGCTCGGGATCCCGCTCGACCTTTGCGTCCTCATCCCTATCAAATACTTTGCCAGTGCCATGACCTTCATCGACCTGGGCCTCTACTTCGGTCTGCCCAAGACCATTGTGCACAGGATTGTGGAGGCCTTCCTCGTGCACTTCCCCCGGAGGTTCAAGAAGACCTGGGTGCGCTTTCCCACAGCAGAAGAGATGGAGGAGATGGCATTGGCCTTCAAGGAAGTACGGGGGGTACCGAATGTTGTGGGAGCAATTGATGGCACACATGTCAAGATAAGGGGGATGGAGAACCACAGGCAAGAGTATTACAACAGGAAGTCCGTCTACTCAACCCAGTTGCAAATTACATGCGACAGCAAGGGGATTATCTGGGGCTACACCGTCGGGCACCCGGGATCTATGCATGATCAGGGCATCTTCCAGCAGTCCGAACTGCACGCCCGCCTAGAGCGTGGTGACCTCGGACCGTACCAGATCGTCGGTGATGCTGCCTACCCGCTGCGCAGCTACTGCCTCACTCCTGTCAACGCAACCCGCCGGCGCCTGATGAAGAGCTGGGAGCAGACATATAACTACGTCCATTCCGCCACCCGCATGGTTGTGGAGCGGACCATTGGTGCACTCAAGGGGAGGTGGCGTTTGTTCGGCCGGCGACACGAGAGCAAGTTGACGCGTGTGTGTGCGGGGACTGCGTGCATCATCATCCTGCACAACATGATCCTGCACACCGATGAGCCAAGGAACCGTACATTCAGGCATCAGTGGCGGGTGTGGATGGGCAACGGCCCACCGTGGTACCACCGGAGTGGCATGAGGACCTACGGATGGTGTGATGCTGACAGTGCTGGAGAGTCTGACCTTCGCAAGCGGCGGAAGCAGTTTGGGAAGCACATGCATCGTGCTTACCTGAGAAGGCACCGCCCGTGGCGCCTTGAGCGTGACTAGTCGGACGTCCTGTCATCGCGCGCCTCATCGTCCACATCGTGGGGAACGTCGCCTGCCTCTCCGTCTAAGGCGGGCGAGTCTTCGTTGCCATCCGTGACTGTGAGGGCGTGCGCATTGGCGGGCGGCGGCGGCGGCACGGGCTGGGGTTGTGGAGGCGGAGCCCTCCCCAGCGTGGCAGCGACGTGGATGGATGTCACGAGGAGTTGCACCGTGTCGCTAAGCTGCCGCAACGCCTGAGCATTGCATGTTGTGATTGTGTCGGCGATGACTTTCGCTGCCGCCATGGTGGCGGTCTCGTTGACTCGGGAACGCTTGGGGGGCATTGGTGAAGGGTTGCCTGCAGCGGGGAGTGGTGGAGTAGGATGCATGATGCAATCGTTTCCTATGTTGCAATGTCATTGTTATAATCAAAAGCTTCATAAAATGTCGCGATCACATGCAACATGCGATACATCGTTAAAAAACCAGTTGTCTGACGTGCTAGCTTAAACACTTACCTTCAAGGCCGCCGGGCCGACGGACTTGACGATCAGGGAGAGTGGCCCTGGGCGTCACCATTCCACCCTCGCCCATCTCGGCGTCGTCGCGTATTGGTGCTCCTGGATCAGCGTGGGTCTCCCCTGCTCCGCCACCATCCAGCACATGCGGTTTAACGTTGGCAGGGAGCTTCTTAATGAGGTAAACATACTCGAACCAGGGTTTCTGCCGTTTGGCCGCCTTCCCTGACGTACCGTTGTGGCGGAGAGTGTCACGGTACTCTGCCTCAAGACGCTTCCATGCGTGTTGCATGGTGGTGCTGTTGCGCTTCCATTTTGCGCCGCCCTTTTTCATGTGTGCGCGGAGCTTCTTCCAATATTGATTGCCCTATTTGCCACGCATCTGCTTCAGATCGTCGCGAGTGTACCACTTAGCGGCCGCCAGTGCAGTAAGCTCCTCGTCGCTCCACTTGCGCTTCGCTTTCGCGTCACGTTTGCGCGTGCGTGTACTTGGTCCAGCATCCGAGCCTGCGGGATCCGCGTCGGACTCCTCCTCGTCGCTACTGTCCTTCGCGTTCGAGTTGTCGGAGTCGTCCTCGGATCCGCTGGAGGAGACAATCTCCTCGAGATCGTCATCGCTCACGTCGGTGTCACCGCCGCCGTCAGAGCTGTCTGCATGGGCGCCACGCGCTCCACTCGGGCCGGCGCCGTCCCGCCTAGGAGCTGCTTCCCGCATTATTTTACCACGCGTATTGTCGTTTTCGCACTGTTCCTTCATCCACTTGATGTAGGGCGGGTCCTCCCATGGCTCGCGATCATCTACCTTCTCCTTTCCCTTACCACGGGCTCTGTGCTTACGGGGGGGCATGATCTCGATGGGGTTCTAAACTTGCCTGACCAACTAAACTGTCGTGTGGAGGTTCACAACATGCGTAGTGCGTACCTAGATCTCCTGGAGGTGGTGATGACTTTCCCGCCAAGCTGATGCAATGAAGTTGGGTGACCCTTCGGGGAGGGGTTATGCACGTTCCTGTCCCGACCAATGACAGCAGTTGGTGGGCCGGGAATTTTACCGGCATGTGAGAGCTCGAACGTGGTGTGTGCGAGCCCAGTTTGCGAGGGAGATTTGGATATGCGTTGTGGTGATTGGACCGTGTGACCCAACCCAACCAGGCGATAGGTTCGTTCAACCAATCGCCTTGTTGCCTATGCGCGTCAGTTTTCTGCCACCAACCTGCCGTTATAGGTATTCGTGGCATCCGCAAAAACCGCCTGCCATCTACAGTGGTCCTGCCACCACCCAGGGATACGCCCTAAGAGATGGGATCCCCCGCTTTCAATCACCCTTCCACCCTCACCGTCAATGGCACCCTCTCTTCCACTAGCTTGGTGCTTTGCATGATGCAAGCGGCGAATGGAGCATGTGCTTTGTTCGTAAAGCGATGGCTTACTTGGTTGTATAACTCTCGACACTTATCTACTGTTTGTAATGGCATTAGTAAGTGACACACAAGATAACGACTTTGACATGTGCTAACCAACTGCATGAAAGGCTATGAAACAAGTAGTGTAATGAAACGGTACATCAAGCGTTTGCCCTTTGATAGGAGCCATTGCCAGGCTTTAGCTTTTGTGAAACGTTGTCTGCAAGCACAGAAGCATGGCCGTGAACCTACACCCCCATGATATTGTATAACGCAGCAAGGGCTTGTATGGCACGCCTCCCCCCACGCCACACCATCCGCTGCATATACTCTGCCCCACCTACACACTCTGCCCCACCCTCAGCCGCCCCTCGCTCTGCTGGCCCGCTCCCTGCTGCACCACCATCTGCCGCCCCTCCGTTCAAGAGCAGGGAGAAAGGCAGAGATATTACTGGGGAGAGAGGGGAGCAAGGCAGAGATATTACAGGGGAGAGAAGGGAGCAAGGCAGAGATATTACAGGGGAGAGAAGTGAGCAAGGCAGAGATATTACAGGGGATCGAAGGGAGCAAGGCAGAGATATTACAGGGGAGAGAGGGGAACAAGACAGAGATATTACAGGGGAGGGAAGGGAGCAAGGCAGAGACATTACAGGGGAGAGAAGGGAGCAAGGCAGAGATATTACAGGGGAGAGTAGGGGCAAGGCACAGATATTACAGGGGAGAGAAGGAAACAAGGCAGAGAGACAAGAGGGGAGTGAAGGGAGCAAGCAGGAGATATGAGAGCAGAGAGAATGGAGCAAGGGAGGGGCACAGGGGGGAAGAGATGGGAGCAAGGCGGATATGGGAGAGGATAGAGGGGAGCTAGGCGGATATGGGAGAGGATAGAGGGGAGCTAGGCGGATATGGGAGAGGATAGAGGGGAGCTAGGCGGGTATGGGAGAGGATAGAGGGGAGCAAGGCGGATATGGGAGAGGATAGAGGGGAGCTAGGCGGATATGGGAGAGGATAGAGGGGAGCTAGGCGGATATGGGAGAGGATAGAGGGGAGCTAGGCGGATATGGGAGAGGATAGAGGGGAGCTAGGCGGATATGGGAGAGGATAGAGGGGAGCTAGGCGGATATGGGAGAGGATAGAGGGGAGCTAGGCGGGTATGGGAGAGGATAGAGGGGAGCAAGGCGGGTATGGGAGAGGATAGAGGGGAGCTAGGCGGATATGGGAGAGGATAGAGGGGAGCTAGGCGGATATGGGAGAGGATAGAGGGGAGCTAGGCGGATATGGGAGAGGATAGAGGGGAGCTAGGCGGATATGGGAGAGGATAGAGGGGAGCTAGGCGGATATGGGAGAGGATAGAGGGGAGCTAGGCGGATATGGGAGAGGATAGAGGGGAGCTAGGCGGATATGGGAGAGGATAGAGGGGAGCTAGGCGGATATGGGAGAGGATAGAGGGGAGCAAGACGGAGATATGATAGGTGAGAGAAGGGGGCAAGGGAGGGTCACAGGGGGGGGCGAAAGGGAGCAAGACGGAGCAACGAGAGGGGATAGCAGAGAGCAAGGAGGAGATGTGAGAGGGGAGAGAAGGGGGCAAGGGAGGGTCCCGGGAGTCAACGAGAGTTGGGATCAAGGCGGAGAGACGGGAGGGTCTACTCGGGAGCAAGGGGGAGATGTGTCCTGGGGAGAGAAGGGAGCAGGGCAGAGGTATGGGAGGGGAGAGAAGGGAGCAAAGCATGGTAGCAGTGGGGGGAGAGAAGGGGGCAAGGCGGCAAATCGAGAGGGTATAAAAGGGAGCATGGCAGAGAGACGAGAGGGGATGGAAGGGAGCTAGGTGGAGATATGAGAGGGGAGAGAAGGGAGCATGGCAGAGAGACGAGAGGGGAGAGAACGGTGCAAGGCGGATAAATGGGATGGGAGAGAATGGAGCAAGGGAGGATCACAGGGGGGGAGGGGAGAGAAGGGAGCAAGGCGGAGCCCCAAGAAGTAGCATGGCAGAGAAACGAGAGGGGTGAGAAGGGAGCGTGGCGGAGATGCGAGATGCTCGTGTGTGTACAGGAAGGGGGGTGAGGGGTTCCACGGTAAGGTAAGCGTAAGGGAGCAGGGCGGGCCAAGAGGAGCGCAAAGGAGGCGAATAAGGGACAGAGGGGGAAGGGCGCGAGACGAGTAGGGGAAAGAGAAATAATGGGAGAGGCTGTGACGAGAGTAACAAGAAGGAGCCCGCTACGGAGTGGCGATGCACGTCGCCATAACTAAGGGAGAGCGGAATTTGGCAGAGATGCAAGGATGGGGCACCGTTTATTGGTAAGTGAGACGAGGGCAGGATGAAGAAGAGACGGGAAAAGGGAGAAGGGAGCAGGGCAGTGAGTCGAGAGGGAATAAATCCGTGGGAGGGCGGGTCGCATGAGGGGGAAGAGAAGGGAGCAAGACGGCGAGACGAGAGGGTATACAAGGGAGCAAGGCAGAGAGACGAGAGGGGATAGAAGGGAGTAAAGCAGAGATATGAGATGGGAGAGCAGGGCGCAAAGCGGAGATATGACATGGGAGAGCAGGGCGCTGCTGGAGTGGTTTCTACGAACCACACTAACGACGGCGAGAAATGCGGACCTACGGCGACTTATGGCGGTGACGTGCGGAAGAAGCGAGAAGGAATTACTAAGAAGCGTCTAAGATTACTTGGCGTGTGGTCTACGCTGAGGGGAAAGGAGTAGAAACGTAAGGAAGAAATGGGAACGTAAGGAAGTTACGGGGGAATAGAGATGGGAAAGTGAAGGAATTGGTTTGACGGGGTAGGAGTTTGGGTTGAAACGATGACGTGGTTCACAAGTTTCTGAAATTCGGACTTCGGGAGTGTTCGACGAAGGAGTCGTGGTTGCGTGTGCGACGCGACGTGAAACTTGGAGTGTGGGGTAAGTTTGGTTACAAGGGAGGTTGCTTGTGGAACACGTTTTGGGTTCAGTTACGTGGGTGCATTGGGATGAGTATAAGTTAGTTGTACCAGTCAGTTGAAATATACACTTGGAAATTCTTTGCTTGAAGGTGCAAGACAAGCACTGGTGAGATTGAAAACTTAGTGAAACGTTCTCAGAATTAACTGCTGCGCATATCGTTGGAATCGTGAGAACGAGGAGAACGTCATCGACAATAGCAAGCAGACTTTTGTCGATTGAGGCGTCAACGATCCTGACAGTTGGTATCAGAGCTTGGAGAAGGCGAACGGTCGTGCGCTACTCGTCAAGAAGAACGGGCGTGCACTACTCGTTGCTAAGTGGGAGAAGAAGGAGCTCTTCACGCCTACGCCATGGGGGACGAGGCGAGTTCGGGTTCCAGTGTGAGTCTTGGAAACCCGGAGATGAAGGCGCTTCTCGAGGCACTAGCGAGTGTTCGCGTGGTGACGAAGCCGACGATCGGGCTAAGTGAAGCCCAACGCTTCAAGGGGAACAACTACAACGTGTGGCGGAAGAAGTTCATTCGGAGGGCAGAGGAGGTTGAGCTCCTACCGTTCTACCGTCCCGATGAAGAGACGAAGGAGGGAGTTCCACCTTCCAAGACGGATCCGCCGGAAAATGTGGCGTTGTTTAAGAAGCAAAGTAAGAAGGCGTTCTTCCAACTTTGCGATTCGGTTGCTGATACTATTGCGGTGGATTTGGACCAATTTGCAGGGGAGTTAAATTCGGCACAACGAGCGTGGGAGTACTTGGAGTCCACCTACATGGGCAACAATGATACTAGCAGAAAGGTCGTGAGAAAACAACTGCTGATGCTGAGCATGGAGAAGGGTGAGAACATCATCACCTACATCAACAGAGCGAAAAGCTACAACGACGACCTACGGGTGATGGGAGCCGCGGAGTCGGAGCAAGCGATGATTGACTACATCGTTGAAGGACTTCCTAAGGAGTACGAAGCGGACGTTGGAATGTTCACATACCAACCCCCGGAGAACTTGATGAAGCTGCAAGAGATTCTTCAATCTCTTGAGACGGTGAAGGAGATAAGGAGGAAGAAGGCGGCTACGGAGTTTGAAGACGAGAAACCTCGTATGGTGAATGCAACTTCAACAAAGGCGTTTGGAGCATGCTACCATTGCGGAAAGAGGGGACACAAGGCGATCAACTGCTTTGAGAACCCGAGGAGCAAGAACTACAAAGGGAAAACGGGGGAGAACGACCATGGAGACAACGAGCGAGCGGATAAACGTGGATTCGGCGGCAAATGCGATTATTGCGGGCGCTACGGACATAAGGCCGCGGATTGCTACGCCAACCCGAATAGCAAGAGCTACAAGGGGCCGTCGGAGCAGAGGAACGCGGAGGCAAAAGCGAACGTAGCAGCAGTGGAGAAGGAGGACGTAATCCTTGGTGGTGCACACCGTGCGAACGTGGTGCGGGTGCCTAAGGTAAACGAGCCAACAGTTGGTGGTAAGAATGATGCGTGGCTCTTGGACAGCGGGTGCACGCGTCATATGACGTATAGGTCGGAGCTTGTGGAGAACATAAGAGAGTCAAGTGAGAAATTCATCTTGCAAGGCAACAACGAGAAGCTTCCGGTGACGGGAGAAGGTGACGTGATGCTTTATAGTCCTTATGATGGAATGAGACTTAAGAATGTTTTGTTGGTTGAGGACTTGAAGGTAAATCTAATTAGCCAATCACAGCTTGATGATATGGCGTGCAAGGTGTTTTATGATGACGGTAAGGTTACGGTGTTTGGTTCTTTATGGGAGAAGTATGCGGACGGCTACTTCAACGACGGTTTCTACGAGATGAGCTTGATTGCGTGGAATGACATAGATGAGGTATATGATGACCATGAGTTTTACGAGGTAAAAGATGAGGTGAAGTCATTCATTGAGGTTGGTGAGGTTGATACCAGGGGAAATGTGGTATCGAGTGCGACTTCTTGTGAGAAGACCGACTTGCCCATCATGAAGGAGGATGTGCGCGTGAAGGAAGCGGTAAAGCCGAACAAGAAGACTTGCGTCAACACCGAAGCGGCAACAATCACAATTGAAGATGAGGCTGCAAGTGTGGAGCGTGATGACACTAAAGCTGCAAAAGGACTAGGCGTGGTGAAAGGCATGAAGGCGAAAGCAACTGCAAAAGTGCGGCCAAGGAGGAGTGCTAGGCTGGAGAGTCTCTATCGCGGATTCGACATCAAGGCGATCGATTTCAAACCACGGAAGCAGAGGTACAAATTGCACGAACTTCAGGGGAGTATGAATCTGAATTAGATATCATGAGGGCTGCAAAGGAGCAGGGGAGTGAAGGTGTGGTTCACGAAACCACAGGGGAGGTTGTTGGAGTGGTTTCTACGAACCACACTAACGACGGCGAGAAATGCGGACCTACGGCGACTTATGGCGGTGACGTGTGGAAGAAGCGAGAAGGAATTACTAAGAAGCGTCTAAGATTACTTGGCGTGTGGTCTACGCTGAGGGGAAAGGAGTAGAAACGTAAGGAAGAAATGGGAACGTAAGGAAGTTACGGGGGAATAGAGATGGGAAAGTGAAGGAATTGGTTTGACGGGGTAGGAGTTTGGGTTGAAACGATGGCGTGGTTCACAAGTTTCTGAAATTCGGACTTCGGGAGTGTTCGACGAAGGAGTCGTGGTTGCGTGTGCGACGCGACGTGAAACTTGGAGTGTGGGGTAAGTTTGGTTACAAGGGAGGTTGCTTGTGGAACACGTTTTGGGTTCAGTTACGTGGGTGCATTGGGATGAGTATAAGTTAGTTGTACCAGTCAGTTGAAATATACACTTGGAAATTCTTTGCTTGAAGGTGCAAGACAAGCACTGGTGAGATTGAAAACTTAGTGAAACGTTCTCAGAATTAACTGCTGCGCATATCGTTGGAATCGTGAGAACGAGGAGAACGTCATCGACAATAGCAAGCAGACTTTTGTCGATTGAGGCGTCAACGATCCTGACAGGCGCATGGCAGAGAGACGAGAAGGGGTAGAAGGGAGCGTGGCGGAGATATGAGATGCGCGCATGGCAACAGAAAAGGGGATATACTCCGTGATACGATGAATGGGGCGGTGGAAATTGGGAGGCATGTGTTAGAACCTAACCGCGCTAGCGCAGAGCTGATGGCTGGCGATTCTGGCTGTGCTGCGTGGACGAATGCAATAGGTCGGGAATGTAACAGGACCGGCGCGGAATGAGGGGGGATTTCGGGCGCGTCGGAAAATTACGAGGTCACCGCCTTGTCTCGTAGCGGCAACGCCCTCTCGCGAAACGTGCTGATCGGCGACTATGCGATGGCGGCAACCCTAAGCGCGGCAAAACGCGCTCGCGCAACCAAGCGGGGAGCACCGCGCACTCGCAGCGGGGTCCCGTGATGAGCTGACGTAGGCGACGCGTGGAGAGCAGAGTGCGACGCAACTTGCGCCGGAGAAATGCCCTAGAGATGGCGTAGCGGGAAAGGTGGATTGGTGAGCGCGGTTGGGCTAACAGGCTTGCGGCCGGTGTGGACTGTGTCGCTAAAACGCCGTGGGAGAGCTGGGCGCTGCTGGCTCCCACACGCGACTGTTGGCTATGAATTCTAGAACCTACGTGCTGGTGGCTAGGTGTCGAGTGACTTTGGGCCCCCGTCAGCCCTTCTGTTTTGGAATACAAACTGGTTTGGGGTGGGTCAAGTTCTAACCTGACCCCCTAGACCCCCCCAACACTTCCGCTTCGATTGTTGGTTTTTCCGCAGGAGTTCCCGCAGGCACAAAGTAACCCTGTTTTCAAGTGATAATCTCTCCCTCCCCGCTCCAAGTATGTAGACCGCAGCTTTAAGCTCCCAAGTCGCCGATGGTAAGAAGATGCTATGTATTGAACTTAAATATCATGCATTTGCACTCGTCATTTAGACTCGAGCGCACTTGTCATCACGACCATAGGTGCCTGGTTGTTAACGGCTGCTCTGACCCATTGTCCAACACCAACACTGAAAATGCGACATGCTCGGGGGTTGGTCATCTTCGTCCATAGCTACTGCACAAAAATTGCTGCCTGGACTAGCAATTGGTGCATAAAAAATTCCAGACATGTCTCACAAAAATTCCATCTTCGGGATCCTGTGTACGGTAGTGTGGGTAGTAAGCTTGCGTGCACATTAGTTGACAAGGGTGAAGTGGGTTAAAGAGCGATTGCGAGGGGTTTGGTTGGAGCGTTTTTCCCGAGTTGACGAGGAGCTGGGGTGTGGAGCAGAGGGTAGGACGGGCCAGATGGAGGAAAGCAGACGCGACAAGTTCGAGATTTGAGAAGCTGAACGACTTCGACACAGGAGTGTGCATTAAAAACAACGCTACAAGCTCGAACATTTCACTCATGCTTGGAGTACCTGCACTTAAATGTACACTTTTTTAGGTGAATGACGTTTCCCAAACCACATGTATCAATCAACATTCCCATTGTCGTAACATCAAACAAGTCCCCTCATCACTCTACAACCCCCTGTTTCTCCTTCACCCGGCCCTGCTCAGCCTTTCCAGGGCGAGGTTCCCACCGTCCCACCAAACACGATGGACCAGGGATAATTCAGCCTGTTATAGTCACACCAATACTCGCCCCTCCTATCATCCTTCCCTATCCCTTCTGCGGTTCATCCACATACACTGCAGCACGGCCCTCCCTCCCCTCCACCACCCTCACTGCATCAATAGCCGGAGCCACTCTCGGCATGAAAGCACCCACCCCTCCACCATCCTCCCTTCCTCCCTCATCCCCTCCCCCTGTCGCATCCCCTGTCCCTCTTGCATCCCCTCCCCCTTCCCCAGACGCCCCCCCCGGCGTCCCACCAGGAGCCATGAACCAGGGCACCTCCAGCCCCTTATAGTCACGCCGCAGCGCCAGGAACTCCGACCCAGACCGTGCCTCTACCGCTGCTGATGTGGCATACCCCAATTGGCCGGACGCACGAGCTAGGGCCAAGGAGTCCGACGACACAGGCACAGCTGACAGAGCCATGTCCTGCCGGATGGCCAATGCTGATTGATCTGATTCAGCTGCTGCTGCTTGCGCTGAAGGTGTTGCTGCTGACGATGGTACCTTGTGAGGGGCATGGGATACCAGCGATCCTTTCACAAAGGAGAATCGAGGAGCCACATCCTCCCCACCATCCCCATCTTCTTCCCCATTTTCTTCCCCTGACCCTGCCTCTCCCTTCCTCACCCCTGCTCCACTTCCTCCAGCTCCCACCCCAGCACCATGCAGCAGCATCCGATACTCCCCCGTCCACTCCCGCCCCTCTTCCAGCGCCATCAGCGCCTCAAACGGCGTCACCACCGGCGCATAAAGCGCACTGCTGCCACCGCTCCCGCTGCTGCCCTGCCCCATGCCATCCAGCAGCACCCCCTCCGCACACGCCACCAGCACCAGCACGTCACACTCGGGGAAATTCGCAAGCTTCTCAGGCGTGATCCGCCGCCTGATCGCAATCACGTACGCCTTCTTCCCTGCAGCCACCGCCGCGGATCGAATCGCAGCGACCGTCGCGCGGGTGGAGGCGGCAGCAGCGCCGGCGGATTGGGAGATGACGACGATGCCGATTATAGACGCGTCTTTGGTCTTTTCCACGAGGAAGTAGCGGCGGCGCAGCAGGCGGGAGTGGTCCACCGGGTGGAAGAGAGGTGCGGTGCTGGGGGGAGTAGGGGTTGGGGAAGGAGAAGGGGTTTCGCCAGTGGTGCTGGTGCTGTCAGCGCTAGTATCAGCAGTGGCCGCTTCAGCAGCAGCGGCAGCAGCAGCAGGAGGTAGCTGGGTGGGGTCAAGTCTGAGGATGGGTGTCTGGTTGTGCTCTAGAGCGAGAGTGATGAGAGACGGGCATTCGTCGCTGCTTCCCACCCACACCACCACTGTCACCCCCACTGTTGCCGGTGCTTCCGTTGTTGCATCCTCTTTGCTGTGTGGGTTGCTGCTTTTGCCAGCTTCTGCAGCCATGCTTGACCTGGGCGGCAGCACCCACCGCAGGCCGCCGTGTTCGAAAGGAGTGCCAGGGGCGGCACACTGGGCGGCACACTGGGCGGCACACTGGGCGGCACACTGGGCGGCACACTGGGCGGCACACTGAGCGGCACACTGGGCGGCAGAAGAATGGATAGTGGCAGCGACTGAAGATGCAGTACCACCATCAGCAGCAGCAGCAGCAGCAGCAGCAGCAGCAGCAGCAGCAGCAGCAGCAGCAGCAGCATTGGAAGGAATATCTTCACCACACGTGCCCCTGTCTGTCGCTCCCCCACAGCACGCGCTTCTGTCAGTCTCCCCTCTGGCACCGCCGCTACAGCACCCGCCACTCACGGCGCGACACGTGTCAGCACCGCCACTCTTCCCCCTTTCCTCCGGTTCCACCTCCCTCTCGCGCACCTGCGCCACCACATACCGCACTTCTTCCCCCTCCCCCTCCCCCTCCCCCTCTGCCTCCGCCGCTTCCGCTCCACCGCTTTCCCCAAGAGCGAGCGCAAAGTCGTCCGCGGCGTGCGCGAACTCGAGCGCGAACAGCACCAGCACCACGCGGGGGGGCGCGCGCGGGGGGGAATCTCCGCTAGAATCGGCGTCGGTACTTGCGGGGGTGTTGCTATTGGTGGTGGTGGTGCTGCTGCTGCTGCTTTTGCGGCTGCTGCTGCCGCTGCTGCTCTTGAAGTGTGCTTTTATTGCCGCAGCACACGCCGCCACGTCGATGGGATGACGTGGCAGTACGTACCGCACGGGGAACCTCGCCGGGCGGCGCGACATGCACGCGTGGCCGTAGTGGACGATACAGTCAGCGCTGACGTGGCACGGTGACACCTCATCCACGCAGCAGCTGCTGCACGTGGCGGTTGCCGCGTCAACCAAAACGTAGAAATGCGGCACGTCTCGACGCGGATGATCCGCCGCATGTCCCGCCGACTGGCTCGCCGCAAGTTGCGGCGGCGGCGGATGCGCTTCCAGTCCAGCTATACCTGCCTCCTCCGACTGCTTCCTTCCTTGACCCTCCGTAAAACCCGGAAACCCAGACCCATGCTCTTTTCTCTCATGTTGATTGCTCTCGGGCAGATCGCTCGTTCTCTGGGATGCAATCTCTTGACGTGAATCGACGACATTAGCCTCGGGGGTGGTGCCAGGTGGAGCCTCAGGTAGCGGCTCGGTCTCACTGTCCCCGATATAAGCACCATGATGCTGGCTGCTAAGGAGCGCGGCGCATTCAGCTCTTAACGCGTCGTGGACGGAGACGGCGTGCGGGAGGAGCGAGTCGGGGAACTGAAGGCACACGCGCGAGAAGCCATGTGTCACGATGTAACTCGCTGTCTGCTGGATCTCGAACGCCTCCCTCACCTCCATTGTGGACAACCGCCGAATTTTGAAGAAGAGGGGTCTTATCGATTAATTTTAAAGGGACTTAAATTTACCGGGTCTTATACAAGCACGGGGGTGTAGCTCACATGGTAGAGCGATCGCTTCGCATGCGATAGGTGAGGGGATCGACACCCCTCACCTCCACAACCTCGCGTTTCGTAGCTCGCCTGGCTACCCGGCGATAGGCCAAGCAGCAATTGATGTTTTTTGACAGAAGCTCTCGCATCCCAGTAAGCTCCGCTGTGCTCTTCCTTTGAGCCGACTCAAGAGGCCAGTATTGGCCCTGTTCGATAGGCTAACGCTAACGCTCGCAGAATCATCGCGGCTGTTTCGACGTAGGGTTTTTTTTCTGCGGTCAGCCCGTAATTTAGTGTCAAGGGGCTTTAACGCTCTGGACTCTGGAGTGTTAGTGTTAGCCTTTCGAACGCTACTTTAGCCCTTCAAGATCATCCCCCCCCGAAAGCACCAAGACCCTTCTCGCACGCACAGAAGCAGCCTAGCTCCAGCCCAGCCCTCGCACCCCCAAAATGGAGGTTGGCCAAGGGATAGGCTAGGGTTCCATACGAGAGGGGATACCCACCCCATACCCCACGAAAGTTTTCCTAGCAGGGCCCATGCTCCAACCAACCTCACCCATCTCTGCCCTGGAAAAGTCAAATGCCTTAGCAACTCTTGACGCGTGAGAGATGTGCAGGTTTTTTTTTCTCCCCTGATTTACCCAGGTTCGCGTGGGGAGCGGTGTAAAAGTTTGGAGCCTGCCCAACTTGACGCTGGTGGAAGGAGGGGTTGCAACATCGCCGAGACGACCCCCTCCTTCCGATCTCGGGATGGGCAGCTTCGGATCTCGGGGGGAGGGGGCTAGCCCTTGAAAAAATTCTCGGAAGCCTCCTCCAAACGCTAGCCTAACACTAGCGCTGCAATGAGGTGGCTGCCTATCGAACAGGGCCATTATTCAACCTCAGCGCGCGGTTTGTGAAACCTCATTTGACCGTCACGACTTTAGGCCATTCTCGACTCTCTAGTTCTCTTAGTCCCTCTCCCAACCTCACTACTTTTCCTGTTTTTGAGTCGACTCAGAAACAGCCTCACTACTTTTCCTGGACTCCACTCCTCCCGCGCGTCTCTTCCGCCAATGCTCCGCCTAACCGCTTCTAGAGCGGTTGTTCGACTCCAAGCCACGTCGCGCGCTCTAGCCTCCGCTACAGTCACTTCGCGCGCTTACGTCACACCCTCTACAGTCACGTCGCCCGCTTTTGTCACCCCCGCTACAGTCACGTCGTTGTCCTCGGGGCTACGGTTCTGCAGCCCGCTCGTTCCGCGAGTCGGGCGATTCGCGGCGCCCCGCCAACGAGAATCCGCTACCGCGCCGCCGCGACAGCCGCTGGTACTACGCGTTGAGTTCTGCTGATCGAGTCGCCTCCTGCTGATCGATTCGCTTCCTTCTGCTCACAAATCTTCGAAAGTCGACCTGACTAGAATTCTATGGTGGATGCGCCCTTACCCCCACTCCTCCCCCCTTTCCCCATCCCAATCCTCGCCGCCCAACCCATGGCAACAGAGTTTTCTGCTCATGGCGGAAAGGAGCCACGCGGACATTTAGGGAAAAGCAACTCTTTTCCCCACCCCCCTCCCCTTTCCCCCTCTCCCCAATCCTCTCCCCCCTTCCCAATCCTCTCCCCCCTTCCCAATCCTCGCCGCCCAACCCATGGCAACAGAGTTTTCTGCTCATGGCGGAAAGGAGCCACGCGGACATTAAGGGAAAAGCAACTCTTTTCCCCACCCCCCTCCCCTTTCCCCCTCTCCCCCATTCTCTCCCCTTCCCCCATGGCATTGTGCGTTGTTCTCATGGCGCAAGAAGGACACGAGGAACAACCAACTCACTTCCCTCTCCCCGTCCCAACCCCAACCCCCCCCCCCCCCTCCCTCCTCCCCTCAACCCATGGCAGCGCGTGTTCTGCTCATGGAAAAAGAAGGACACGCGGAACATTGGGGGGCGCGCCAATGCCCTCATTGCTGCTGTGAGTGAGTGTGTGTGCATGGGCACACGTGCCCTCCCTCTCCCCTTCACTTCATCACTCCCTCGCTCTCTTGCCCTCTCTCTCACTCGTTCGTTTGGTCACTTGATCAGCCACGTAGCCTCTCGCTTCCACCCACTCATTCACTCACTCATTCACCCTCACTCGCCCATCTTTTCACTTCCAACTCCCTTCCGTACTCGTTATACTCACATCCATCTCCCTTCCATACTCTTTATTGTCACATCCGACTTACTTCCTTTCTTGCCATCATCATGGTCATCTTCCTTCCATACGCGTTATTAACAGATCCGTGACGTGCCAGACAGCAAGGAGGACGTGTACCGGGCTCTGGACGCATGGGCGGCCTTCCAGCTCGACTTTCCTCTGCTGGCCGTCAAGCGCGCGTTGAGAATAATGCAGCAGGAGGGCCAGTGGAAGCGAATACTGCAGGTGAGGGGTGAGGGTGGCATAGATGCTACGGCAACACTAGGTACTAGTGGGGCTCTCGACGCATGGGCGGCCTTCCAGCTCGACTTCCCCTTGCTGGCCGTGAAACGGGCCCTCAGGATCATGCAGCAGGAGGGCCAGTAGAAGCGAATACTGCAGGCGAGGAGGGAGAGGGTGGCACAGAGGATACTGTTTAGAGTGTTTATACTCTCTCACCTCCAGTACTCAACATGTGCGAGGAAATACGCTCTACATGCATGGGTGCCCTCGGCTTGCGCTGGACGCATGGGCCGCCTTCCAGCTCAACTTCCCCCTGATGGCCGTGAAAGGAGCGCTGAGAATCATGCAGCAGGGGGGCGAGTGGAAGAGAATACTGCAGGTGAGGCGAAGAGAACAGCACAGATAGGTGCAAGAACAGGGAGACAACAGTCGTGAGCGAGACCACGGCTGTCTTTGAGGCGCCACGCGCACATGAGATCCGTGCACCTCTCACCCACACCCCACCCATACACCCAAACCCTAAACCCGGGTGTGCAAGTGGATGCTCGCAAGAGGCCACGAAAGAACATTCGGCACCTATGATCTCATAAAGGAGGCCATGGCTGCCACGGGGCGGCATCCTCACCTGAGATTATTCTTCCGTCTCCCCTGCCTGCATCCCTCAACCCCACCCCCAAATCCTAACCCTCTAACCCAGGTGTGCAAGTGGATGCTCGCAAGAGGGCAGCGCCGAACATTCGGCACGTATGACCTCATGATGGAGGCCATGGCTGCCACGGGGCGGCACACTGAGCTGGGATTCTTCCTCCCTCTCCCATGTCCCTCTCTTCCACACGCTTGCTCCCACCAGGTGTGCAAGTGGATGTTGGCTCGTGGGCAGGGCAGAACGTTCGGCACATATGATCTCATGATGGAGGCCATGGCTGCCACGGGGCGCCATGCTGAGCTGGACGGCACGTGGGAACGAATCATGGGCCGCCACCTGGACACGGTGCCACGCGCCACGTTTGCACGCGTGATGAGCCTGTACACACAGCAGGGACGGCCACTGAAAGTGCTCGAGGTACAGTTCTGTGCGGTCGTGGGCATGTAGGTATGTGCACCACAATTGCACATGCGATGAGCCTGTACACGCAGCAGCAGGGACGGCCCCTCAAGGTGCTCGAGGTACGTCTGTGTGTTTCAGTGCGGTTTATAGCGCTTCTGTGCTGTTATGTGCGGTTCTGTCAGGTGCTGTGCGTTTCTGTGCTGCTATGTACTGTCCTGTGCGGTCCTGCGTGCGGTGCATGCAGGTATGTATGGCAGCATGGGATTGCCAGGAGTTAAGCCTGAGCATGTACTGGTGATGCAACCATGTGCACAAGACAATCACTGAAACCCATGCTCCCATCTCCCTCTCTCTTTGCTGCATCTATTCATGCTTGCAGGTGTATGGCAGTATGATGGGCTGGGAGTGAATCTGGATCAAGGCATGGTGATGCATGTGCACGGAGTGTGCTCTTCCATTGGTGCTCTCATGCTCCTCCTCTGCTGTTGCGTTTGTGTGTGTGCGTGCATGCTCGCAGGTGTACGGCAGTATGATAGAGCTGGGTGTGAACCTGGATGAAGGGATGGTGATGCAGGTGCACAGGGCGCTAATTAACATTGGGGCGGAGCAGAGAGCAGAGGCGCTGCTGCAGGAGCACCAGAGCGTTTTGTCTCCACCAGTTGGGAAGGCTGTTAGGGCTGAGAAAGCCTCCAGTAGTGCTAGAACACTATGAGGAAACCTCGTTGGTTTCATTGTTAACTTCAGGAATATGTTTTGCTTTTATTGTAGACACATGTAAGGAATTTTCTCGGCATTCCTTACGGAGCCGACTACATCGCGTACAGCAACAGCCGATTGTTCGCCCGTTACTGCTAACGGGACTTCGCCGACTTCGCGCGCACTGTTTTGCCAAACCTCGCACTGCTGGCATGGCCGTGTCGGCCTACGCTTCGGGACTAGCCCGAGCCTCGCTCCAGCGTAGCACTAGCAAGCTCGCACGCACCGCGTTACCGTTTTGCATGTTTCGCGTATAAATGTTCGCTCATGCCTTCGCTCACATTTTGTACTCGTTTGACTCTCTAGTGCAATTCTCGCTACCTCGATTCATTGCACCCGTAACACTTGGTATCCGAGCCCCTTTCTTTCGGACCGCGCATCTCCGCACACCAGGAAATCAACTTTTGATTTTTCACTCGAAGGGACCTACGCACCTTAGCCCCTAGGAGCCGCTGCCCTCGCGTTCTCTCGTAAACGCGTGCAGCCACGACTGCGCCTAGACTAAGACGAGCCGACGCCCTTCGTCATGGCTGAAATTATCGACGTCACCACCCTCACGCAGGAGCGTTTGAACGATCTGCTGCGACAGCTGCACGAAAGCTCCGAGGAAATCGCGGCATTGACGGCAGAACGCTCATCACTGCAAAATGACCTCACGAGGGCACAACAAGCACAATCTCAAGCACCTGGCACTCCGATTCAACCTGCACCCTCAACATCACAACACGGGAGTGTGGGGCAGCCCGCGAGCGCGGCCAGTGATGGCGTCGTCCGCCCCGACGGAGACGACGACCACGGCACGACACACCCCAGAGCGACGCATGCGGCCCCAAGTCAGCCTCGCGTCACGATTTCGGCACCAACCCACGATTCGGGACTGCCGTCACCGATGCCGCTGAAGCCGCAGCGTCCGCCATGCTTTGACTCGAGTCAACGGGGTGGTCCTACCGTTCAGGCGTGGTTGTTCACAATGAACGTCTTCTTCGACGCCAACTACGTCTCGGAGGACTCGGCGAAGATTCGATACGCCGTGTCGTTGCTGCGAGGACCCGCCATGGACTGGTGGCGCGTCATCGTCACGAAGCCGACAGACTACGCGACACTACCGACACGGGAAGGACAAACCGGACCCTGGGCGCCGTCGTATTTCGTGGAGGTGCCCCAGTATCGCACGTGGGACGCGTGGTGCGCAGGTCTACGCGCTCGATTTGAGCCAATTGCGGCTTCGATCTCGGCGCGACAGAAGCTCCGCACTTGGCGCCAACTCGGTTCCGTCCAGGATTACACGAGCGGATTTCTGGCGCTATGCGAACAGGTGGGCTACATGCATGAGAGCGAGCGCATCGACCGCTACATCGGCGGCCTGAAGCAGGACATCGCTCAGGAAATCCAACTTCGCGGCGTCACCGAATTTCAGGAAATTCTCGGTATGGCGGAGAAGCTCGACTTCTTTCGCCGACCGAGACCGAGGTCCTACAGAAACAACAACTGGGGACATCGGCCTCGTGGGACGAACGAGAGCGCCACGATACGCGCCGTCGCCGCAAATGCCGCTGCCGCACCGTTCAAAGGGCGCTGCTTTGCGTGCAATCGGCCGGGACATCGCAAGAGCGAATGCCCGGAAAACGCTAAGGGAAAGGGGGAAGCTGAGCAGCAGACACAGACCAAGCAGCAGGGAAACGCTGGAAGTTAGTAGCAGACGGGCCCTCTACTGACAGGTCACGCCGCTCGCCCGACCCAACCGACCCTCACCGAGTGATTGTGCCGGTTCACGCAATCGACCACACCCGGCCGAATAAGGAGGGTACCACGGTAGACAGCCCTATACTGCTGAGTGGGAAAATTGGGACGGACTTAGTTAAAATCTTCGTAGACGGGGGAGCCAGCCACAGCCTCATTAACACTACTACAGCACGAAAACTGCGACTGCCACTGGACAGATGCTTACCTGAGATCGACGCACGACTGGTAGACGGCACGCCACTGGCAATACGGGAACGCGTAGACCGAGTTCGAATTCGATGCGAGGGAAACTTCACGTTTAGCCAGGAAATGCTCGCGACGACCCTCGACGGAACCAACATTTTACTCGGGCGTGATTGGCTGCGACGACACAATCCGCGAATTGACTGGACGACGGGCGATTGCACCGTGCGAGTGAACGGTAACAGCATCGCCTTACCTCGCTGAGGCTCGCCTGAGCCTTCGTCGGTGCGTGTCAATGCGATCACGATGAAACGCGCTGTAGCGGCCGGAGCTGACGTGTACGCGGTTGACATTCGGGAAGCCGAGGCAGCAGACAAGGGAGGGGATTTACAGAAACTGCTGACCGACGTACCGAGTGATCTGGCAGCACTGTTAACACGGTACAGTGACATTTTCCCGGATGACTTACCGACGGGACTGCCACCTCAGCGACCGCACGATCACAGGATAGAACTGGAACCGGGGGCACAGCCAACAGTACAGCGACAATTCCGACTGACCCAACCCGAACTAGACGAACTGAGGAAGCAGCTCGATTACCTGCTCGAGAAGGAATTCATTCGCCCTAGTTCGTCGCCCTTCGCCGCACCGATACTGTTCACACCGAAAAAAGACAGGGGATTTCGCATGTGCATAGATTACAGAGCACTGAACAGGGTTACCATCAAATCCCGTTACCCCATCCCACGAGCCGACGAACTGATCGACCAACTGCGCACCGCCCGGGTTTTCTCAAAGATTGACCTCCGGGGAGGCTACCACCAAATCCGCGTCAACCCACCCGACTGCCCTAAAACCGCATTCGGAACACGCTACGGATCCTTCGAATACACTGTCATGCCATTCGGACTAACCAACGCCCCCGCCACATTCCAAATGACCATGAACGAAGCATTCCGCCCGCTTTTAGATAAGTGCGTCATCGTTTACCTGGACGACATACTGATTTACAGCCCTGACAGAGCACAGCACTTACAGGACATCGAAGCAGTTTTTAAAATCCTGAGTGAGAACCGCCTACTGACCAAAGCATCTAAGTGTGAGTTTTTACAGGACCGCCTGGAGTTTTTGGGACATGTTATTTCAGCTGCGGGAGTGGAAATAGACCCGAAGAAAATTGCGACGATTCAGGCTTGGCACGCGCCGACCAACTTGACCGAGTTGCAGAGTTTCCTGGGGTTCGTCAACTACGTGCGCCGGTTCGTCCCCGACATGGCGAAGCTGACTGCCCTGTCAGAATATTATCTTATTGTTCTAGCCTGTAGTGGGGTGCTCTATAGCGAGTACAACCCTTCTAGGGTTTGCTATTTGTATCCCCATTTCTGCTAGTTCAATCCTCTTTCTTTCTTCTAATTTTGTCATGCCCCGTTGACTGACCTGCTGATGAAGGGGGTTGAGTACACGTGGGGGGAGAAAGAGCAAGCTGCCTTCTCGGCCCTCAAAAATATTTTGTGCTCCCCGTTCGTACTTCACATCGCAGATCCCCACCGTCCATTCGAGCTCGTCACCGACGCAAGTGACATCGCTGTGGGAGCAGTACTGTTGCAGGACTTCGGGAACGGCCTCCAGCCAATCGCGTACGAGTCCCGCAAGCTACACCCGCCCGAACGCAACTACCCGATACACGACCGCGAAATGCTGGCGATCGTGCACGCGTTCAAAGTTTGGCGGTGTTACCTGACTGGCGCCGACGTGACAGTACGGACAGACCACCGCTCACTACAGTACCTTCGCGCCCAACCGAATCTCAACCCACGACAGATTCGCTGGTTGGACTATCTTGAGTCCAATTTTCACTACACCGTTACGTACAAAAAAGGCGCATCCAACATCGCCGACGCTCTCACCCGCCCCACCGCCCAACTCCACGCCATCCTACTCGCCCAGACCAACCCGCTTTTAACTGGCCTATTCACCCACGGATATCGCACCGACCCATTCTTCACGACCGGAAATTCACAGCAACTGGCAGAAGCAAAAGGAGTTTATTACGTAAGAACAGGCACCAACCGCATTTGGGTACCCGCGTACTCACTACTGAGGGAGCTGCTACTGCAGGAGGCACACGACGGGATTACCTCGGGACATTTCGGGGTAGAAAAAACACGACAGCAACTGCAGCGGTATTATTAGTGGCCGGAGCTGTTGACCGACGTACAGCAGCACGTGGGCTCGTGCCCTACGTGTTAGGTGATGAAGAGTTCAAGGAAGCGGAAGGCGGGTCAATTGCAACCGATCCCACCGCCCGAACGCGCCTGGCAGCAAGTAACCATGGACTTCGTCACAGGGTTACCTTCGAACCCTGGGGGTAACGACGCGGTGATGGTCGTCGTGGATAGGCTGACGAAGATGGCACACTTCGCTGCGTGCAAAAAGTCGATCTCGGCCGAGGAGACCGCTCGCCTGTTCATCGCAGCCGTTGTTCGCCTGCACGGGATACCAGCAGCAATTATCAGCGACAGGGACACGAAGTTTACCAGCAACTTCTGGAAGAACCTTTGGGAGCAGTTCGGAACCAGGCTACAGTTCAGCTCGTCGTACCACCCCGAGACCGACGGCCAAACGGAGCGAACGAATCAGACGATGGAACAGTTGATTCGTGCCACGTGCGACGACCCCACGACCTGGGAGCAGCAGCTGCCGCTGATCGAGTTCGCGTATAACAACGCCACATCAGCCACGACGCAACAGTCCCCGTTCTACCTGAACTATGGGCAGAACCCCACAGTGCCCATGACGCCGAGTCCGGACAACCCAACGCCACGTGCACAACAATTCGCTGAAATCCTGCAAGCTGCCCGTACCAGAGCCGCCGAAGCAATAAAAAAAGCCAACGTCATCGCTAAGCGCAACGCTGATCGCCACCGCCGCCCTGTCACGTACCAATCTGGAGATTACGTGCTGCTCGACACGCAAAATCTGCGACTGCCCGACGTACCGAAATTACGACCGCGCTACTGTGGACCATTCCAAATCAGTCACATGATCACACCCGTCACCGCACATCTACTGTTGCCAACCGACTGGTACATCAGCCCTTCGTTCCACGTCAGCCTACTTCGCCCATACATCCCGACCACAAGTCAACTGCCGCGTCACCGCCCACAATCAATGGCTCGCCCTGCATCGGAGCCGATCATCGAGCCCGAAAAAATCCAGAGCCATCGGATCCGCCACCCCACGGGAATCAGGAGGATTGAATTCCTCGTTCGCTGGAAGGACCGCACGCCAACTGAAGACAGCTGGGTGCCCCTGGCCAACATAGAAAAACACCCTGCCGTGCAAGTGTACCTGAGGAGCCGGGGATTCCGCGATATACACGCACTCGCGTAGCGGAGGGGGCTTCTTAAGGGGGGGTGGTAGTGTAAGGAATTTTCTCGGCATTCCTTACGGAGCCGACTACATCGCGTACAGCAACAGCCGATTGTTCGCCCGTTACTGCTAACGGGACTTCGCCGACTTCGCGCGCACTGTTTTGCCAAACCTCGCACTGCTGGCATGGCCGTGTCGGCCTACGCTTTGGGACTAGCCCGAGCCTCGCTCCAGCGTAGCACTAGCAAGCTCGCACGCACCGCGTTACCGTTTTGCATGTTTCGCGTATAAATGTTCGCTCATGCCTTCGCTCACATTTTGTACTCGTTTGACTCTCTAGTGCAATTCTCGCTACCTCGATTCATTGCACCCGTAACAACACAATAAACAAGTTTCGCACTGTGAGCTAAGGTTTCATTGCCCATGAAAATGTCCGCGAAGATTTGCGAGTGAATAGAGTCCCTGCGCGAGAGGGGCCTTCCAGAGTTGTTGACCGTTGAGTTGCGTGCGCGACTCGTTCGTCATGTCCATGCGGCTCACCGGTCCAGACCATTGCGCACCAGAATGAACCTCTTCAAAGTGAGTGTGAAACGGGGGCAGGGTGTCCACTTTCAAATGGGCATGTCGCATTTCCAGTGTTGGCCAACGGGCCAACCAGAACCCTTTCAACAGCCATCGACTGAATACTTGGCACCATAGTCGCGACAAGTGCGCTCGCGTTCAAGTGACGAGTGCAAATGCATGATACATAGAAGTGCATAATTACCACTGGCGAACTGGGAGCGTAAGAAAGGTTAATCTCCATGGCAGCGCTGCAGCCTACTGGCGAAATGAGGGAGCGCGCCGAGCGACGGGAGGAGAAGAGACAGAAGAACAATGCTGATCCAGAAGGCAAGGACTGCTATTGATTTGATCCAGAAGGCAAGGACTGCTATTGATTTGATCCAGAAGGCAAGGACTGCTATTGATTTGATCCAGAAGGCAAGGACTGCTATTGATTTGATCCAGAAGGCAAGGACTGCTATTGATTTGATCCAGAAGGCAAGGACTGCTATTGATTTGATCCAGAAGGCAAGGACTGCTATTGATTTGATCCAGAAGGCAAGGACTGCTATTGATTTGATCCAGAAGGCAAGGACTGCTATTGATTTGCGACGCCGACGCAACATCCCACTTTTCCACCTCACCTCATCTTCAAAATTTGAACAAAAAGCACATATTTTTCACCTCCCTGCTTTGATAACTTACGGTATCTTAAAAAAAAGCATTTGCCAGTTTGCGTGAACTCTCCTAGGCATTCCGTGTCAGTTGGCTCCTCTACCCTCCGCCTCCTCCTGTTCTCTCTGTCCTATTTCCCTCCTGCCTTTTCTTCTTCGCGAGCTATACGCGCACCTCATTCAGTGGTTTTCCTCCTCATTTGGATCCAGTCCATGCTCCAATCACCGTTAATTCCTATTCGTTCCATCTCGCACCACTTTTTCCGTCGTTTCCTCTCTCTTTTTCCCTGTCACTCATACTGGAAAAAGTCACAGAATGTACGATCGTAGAGTAGAGCTTAGAGACTCGCAACTCCGCTATGTCATTCTCATTCTTTGCATCATGGAGTCTTTTTGGCGCTGGTGAGGTGGGCGTTAAGAGAGACGCTCGAACAGAGAACTTTCCGAGCTTGAACGGAGGTGCTCGAACGGAGAACTCAGAGAAAACCGCTCGTTTTTAGGCGCCTCAAAAAAAAACTCAAAGCCAGCTCCGTTTCAAAGGCTTTTGAGAGTGCTCTCGCCATCCAGACGTGTTTTCAAGGCTTAAAATCACAGCCGCGAACGGAACGAGCGACAAAAACAGCACCATTCCAAATGATTCCCCTTTTGCTTTCTCCCATCAATCCCCGTCCCACCCATCTCATCCATCTCACCCATATCACCCATCTCACGCATCTGATGCATCTCACGCATTTCTCCTTCCAGCCGCCATTCCCAGTGATCCCATAGACATGCTGCCGGAGTACCTTTGGCACAAACCCTCCCTCTACCTGCTGCTGCCACCCGGCTCCCCCCACCCCATGAATCCCCTTCCCTTCTCACCCATGTCACCCATGCCACCCATGTCAATCACCCGTTTCTCCTTCCAGCCGCCACCCCCAGCGATCTCATAGATAGGCTGCCGGAGTATCTCTGGCACAAAGTCTTCCGCTACCTGCTGCTGCCGCCCGGCTCCTCCCACCCTGAGACTCCCCTTGTCCGGGGCAGACAAATCACTCCATGGTATCTCGCCGCAAAAGAGCAGCCCACAGCGCGCAAAGACCTGCCCGTGAAATTTGCGGACCCTTATTTCACGCCAGCCGGGCAGCACTGGAAGAACGCGAGGAGCTATGGCAGTGGGTGGGCGCTGCTGTGCTGCGCCATGGCCAGCAAGAGGCTCCTCTCGCTCGTCCTCTCCTTCTCTGTGAGTTGTGCTCTGCTCTGCGCTCTCTGCTCTGCACTTGCTCTCCTGGGCTTCGAAACCCGCACGCCTTTTTAAGTTCCACCATGCTCCGGATATGAGATTCTTAGAACAGGTGCTGATTGATCATAAAGCGGATCCCACAACATTTTATTTGACAACTTCAATCCAAGACCATTCCTTCCCGTCCCTTACTCCCATTCCAGACCTATCACCTTCTCTCCTCCAATCCTCTCCGTCCCTCTCCGCTCCGCAGCCCACCACCCCACGCACTGAATACAACGAGGTGCACCCGCAGTGGGGCAAGAGTGTTGTCTGCTTCCTGTGCTGGCGCTGAGCTGACTTCTGAGTCGCTCAAAAGTGAATAACCAATCCCATTCGTCCATCTCCGCTCCGCAGACCCACCACCCCATCGCACTGATTAAAAACAACGAGGTGCAACCCTAGTGGATCAAAATCGTCGCACTATTCAAATCACGCTTCGATCTCAAATTCCTAGAGCGGGTTAGTCCTCAAACCAACCTTCCGGTGCCTCCCTTCCTTCACCCTTATCTCTCTCTACAGGCCGACCAACCCATCGACCTGGTATACAACGAGCTGCACCCGCAGTGGATCAACAGCGTCGAATCCTTCCTTCGCCAACACCGCCTCAGGTCCCTCGCCCTCACCTTCACGGGCAAGGAGCAGCTCACATACCTCGACTCGCCACGCAAGGAGCAGTTCAGATACCGCGACTCGCCACTTCGCCGGCCCTTTACCTCCCTCACCTCCCTCAGTCTCAAGCTGCGCGGCACTGTCGCCGACAAATCCGACAACTATGACTACCGTTATAAAAAATATGCGGAAATTGAGTGGGAAGAGGAGCGGGAGAAGGAATCCTGGACCATCACCTTGGACTGCCCGGCTCTGCAGCGGCTGAAGCTAGGCCGAGGCAAGTGGGGACTCGAGGAAGGCTGGGCTGAGCGGTTCAAGTCGCTGCGCAGCTTGACCCTCAAGCACATGGATTGGAGCTACGTGGATCTTGATTATCTCGCCACGCTCACGCCGCAACTCACGGAGTTCGTTCTTTATCACAGCTGGGATTTTAACCGCCCGTCATCAGGCCCCGTTGGCGACGAAACATTCACTTTCGACTTATCAAAAGCCCAAACTGTCCGCTTTTACTTTCCGCACAGCACCATCACGCTCTCCCTCACACTCTCTTCTTCGCTCACAACCTTCACGGCGATGGGGAAACAACTCGTGCTCTCGTGCAAGAGCACAGAACCCCTCACTCTCCAGCACCTCTTGCTGTACGGCCAGCAGCGGCTTGTCATCTCCTCCCTCCGCCTCGCTTCCGTACGAGTTGCCTACCTCAACGGCCCTCCCAAAGACGTGCACCCACGCGATGACAAATTCTCTTCCTACCTGGACTTTCCTGAATTGTCCCTTCAGTTTTTACCTGAACTTTCGCCTGACAGGGAGAGCGTGCACAGCTCTGCTGCATTCTCCTGGGCTGAATGGCTGCGCACCATAGCGCCAACAGTGGAGGTGCTTATAGTGAGGCATGGGGTGCCTGTAGAGGGGGTTGATGCGGAGTGGAGCAGCCTGCGCAGCCTTGGGATTGTCGTGGAGAGAGAGGAGCTGTTTGAGGTGGATTTGAAGGTTGAGAAGCGTCGGGATGACGGTGAGAGGGAGGTTACAGTGGAGGAGTTTGTGCCACAGCAGCGGCAGCAGCAGCGGGAGCACTTGCAGCAGCAGATTTCAAAGCAGCAAGCTTTACAGCAGCGGCTTTTGCAGCAGCAGCAGCAGCAGCTGCAGCAGCAGCAGCAGCAGCTGCAGCAGCAGCAGCAGCAGCAACCGCAGCAGCAGCAGCGGCAGCGGCAGCAGCAGCGGCCGCGGCAGCGGCAGCGGCAGCAGCGGCAGTTGCAGCCGCAGCAGATTTTACAGCAGCAGCAACGTTTGCAGCAGCAGATTTTGCAGCAGCAACGTTTGCAGCAGCAGCTTTTGCAGCAGCAGCAGCAGCTTTTGCAGCAGCAGCAGCAGCAGCAGCAGCAGGATGGGGAGGAGGAGGGGCAGGAGGGGCAGCAGCAAGAAGAAAGACCGCCCTTTATCTTGGCTCCAAACTTGCGAGCAATCTTCTTCCCCACCTGCACATGCGAGCAGCAAACCCTTTCTTCCCTCCGCGAATTCTGTCCGTCTCTCGCCCTGTACTGCATCTCACGTCGCTCATTCTACTGGGAGAAGCAGGGGAAGCAGTTGCCAGATACTCCTATGATTCATGTGAGGAAGGCGAGAAGCGGGGTGCCATGCGCTTGCTTTGCGGAGAAGCGGCCTAAGAACTTGCGGGAGAAGATGCACAGTGTGAATAGGGAGCTGGTGGATGGGTACAGTGTTGATAAAGAAGAGGCTTATATGTGGAAGTACAAAGGGAGCCTGTGGAGCAGATACTGAGGGTGACTCTTGACTTGACTGGAAAATCACTCTAGTACAGTGTTGATGAAGAAGAGGCTTATTTGTGGAAGTAATAATTGAGCCACTGTTGACTAGAAGTACAAAGGGGGTAGCAGTGTGATGTGCTCGTGGCGTGTGCGGAGGGTGTGCTGCTGGATGGGATGGGGCAGGGCAGCAGCGGTGGCAGTGGCGGCAGTGGCAGCAGCGGTGGCAGCAGCGGCGGCAGCAGCGGCGGCAGCAGCGGCGGGAGCAGCAGCGGTGGCAGCAAGGCGTTTTATGCGCCGGTGGTGACGCTGTTTGAGGCGATGATGGCGCTTGAAGAAGGGCGGGAGTGGACAGGGGAGTATTGGATGCTGCTGGATGGTGCTGGGGTGGGAGGGGTTGGGAGGGGAAAAGTGGTTAGGGAGGGTGAGGCAGGGTTAGGGGAAGAGAATGGAAAAGGCGGGGACGATGCGGCTCCTCGGTTAGCATCACCATCATCAGCACCATTAGCAGCTTCAACAGCACCAACAGCAGTGGCAGGATATGGCCCTGACTCGGGCGACCGGCCAATCGGGGTACGCCACGTCATCGGCAGTGGAGGCGCGGTCTGGGTCTGAGTTTCTAGCGCTGCGGCGTGACTATAAGGGGCTGAATGTGCCCTGGTCCATGACGTCTGGTGAGGCGGTGAGAGTGGTGGAGGGGAAAGAGGGTCGTGCTGCAGGGTATGTGTATGAGGCATAGCAGGGATAGGGAAGGATGGTAGGAGGGCCGAATGTTGGAGCGTGTGAGAGTGTAACTATAATGGGATGAAGGTGGCTTGGTCTGGGTGCTTGGTGTTGTGCCTGGGGAAGGCGAGCAGAGGGGGTTGAAGGGCAATCAGGGAGGAGAGGGGGAGGGGAGATGGGAGCGGAGCACTCAGGGAATGGTTAATGGGGATGAGGGGGCAGTGAAGATGGGTGGTGAAGCAGTGGGTTTTTTTATGCTGAAAGTGGCTCTCGCGCTGTGCGATTGAGGCGGTGAGGTTGGTGGAGGAGAAAGAGGGTAGTGCAGCTGGGTATGTCCAGTAGTGCTATAACATTGTGAGGAACCTCATTGGTTTTTATTCTAACTTTGTAGGAATATTTATTGTAGACACAAAAGCATTTTTTTTGGGATACGGTATCCTTGCCATCAGGTATTGCGCGAAAGTTTGCGAGTGCATTGAGGCGCTGCGCAAAAGTAGGCCTCGCGAAGTTGTTGACCGTTGAGTTTCGTGGGCGACTCGTTGTTCATTTTTCCATGTAGTTCACCGTTTCAGACCATTGCAAACCTCTTCAACGGGAATGCGAGTGCCAAACGAACGGTGAGGTGAGGTGACCGCTTCATTCCAATACGCATCTCGCATTTTCAGTGCAGGACAGAAGGCCAGAGCCGTTTGACAGACGCGGACTGAATATTAGGCACCTTAGTCGCGACAGGTGTGCTCGAATTGAAGTGAGGAGTGCAATTGCCTGTTTTTTTGTGTTGAATACATAACATCTTTTCAGAAAGTGCATGATTACCGCTGGCGAAGCTCAAGAAACGTCATTTTCCATGGCCTCGCTGCAGCTAAATGGCGAACTGAGAGAGCGCGCCGAGCGACGGGAGGAGAAGAGACAGAAGAGCAATGCTGACCCAGAAGGCAAGGGCTGCTATTGTTTCGCGACGCAGCATCCCATTTTTTCACCTCATCTTCACAGTCCGAACGAGAAGCACCTAAACTTCGCCTTCCTACATAGCACTAAGTTCCTCTCCCCTCAACCTCCTTCGATTCTGTCCGTCCTCTGTTAATTTCCCTCCTGCTTTAGCTTCCTCGCAAGCTACGCGCATTGCGAAACAACTAGCAAGCACCTTATTCAGTAATTTCCCTCCTCATGTGATTCCTGTCCCTGCTGCCTAACTGCTTCACCAGCACCATTTCTTACGTCTTTCCTCTTTTTCCTCCTTTCTGTCATTCATACTAGGAAGGGGTTTCAGAAAATAACATCGTGGAGAAGATAAACTCTTCTATTTACGTCAAAGAGTTTATGTCCATTACGTCATTCTCACTCTCTGCACCATGGAGTCTTATTAGTGTTGGTGAGGTAGGCGCTACTGAAAGAGCTTGAACGGAGACTTGACGTTCTTGAAAGGAGATACTTAAACAGAGAACTAGGAGAAAATTTCTCATTCTTTTGGCGCCTCAAAAATCTCTATTAGAGCTCCATTCCATTTTTTTCGCTTAAAATCACAGCCGTGAAGAAAACAAGCGACGATTAAACCCTGGAAAAAATGTTCAAAACAGCTCCATTCCAAATCATTCCCCTTTTCCTTTCCCTATTACCCGTCTCATGCATCTCTCCTTCCAGCCGCCACCCTCAGTGATCCCATAGACATGCTGCCGGAGTACCTCTGGCAGAAAGTATTTCGCTACCTGCAGCTGCCACCCGGCTCCTCTTACCCTGAGACTTCCCTTGTCCGGGGCAGGCGAAAGTTTCCATGGGCAGTTTCCATGGACAAGAACCTGCCCGTGAGATTTGCGGACCCTGATTTCACAGCAGCCGGGCAGCACTGGAAGAACGCGAGGAGCTATGGCAGTGGATGGGCGCTGCTGTGCTGTGCCATGGCCAGCAAGAGGCTCCTCGCCCTCGTCCTCTCCTTCTCTGTGAGTTATGCTATACTTTGCTCTGCTCTCTTCTCTGCTCTGCTCCGCTCTACACTTGTTCTCCTTGGCTTCGAGATGCATACTTCCAAAATTCCACCCCCCCTTCTTTTTCGGATATGAGATTCTTAGAACAGGCCCTGATTGGTTGTAAGCGGATCCTATAACAGCCTATCCGACAACCCCAATCCAATCCTAATACTTCCCGTCCCTCACTCACATTCTCTCCTCCACCGATCCCGTCCGTCCCTCCCTCTCTGCAGGCCCACCACCCCATCGACCTGGTTTACAACGAGATGCACCCGCAGTGGATCAAGAGCGTCGAATTCTTCCTGCGCCAGCGCCACCGCCTCAAGTCCCTGGCCCTCACCTTCACGGATCTGGAGCAGCTCGAAAACCTTTGCTCACCGCTCAGCCAGCCCTTCACCTCCCTCAGTCTCAAATTCCGCGGCCGTGTCGACAAATCCGAGTCGTTTGACGACCATTTTAAGGATTATGAGGACGAAGAGGATGAGGATTCCTGGGCCCACTTCTTTGACTGCCCGGCTCTGCAGCGGCTGAAGCTCAGCCGGGGCAAGTGGTATCTCCAGGGAGGCTGGGCTGAGCAGTACAAGTCGCTGCGCAGTTTGACTCTCAAACACGTGGATTGGAGCCACGTGGATATGAAGAATCTAGGCTCGGTCACACCACGGCTCACGGAGTTCGTTCTCTATCACGGCTGGAGTTTGGACGACCCATCCTCCGGCCCCGGTGGCGGCGGCACATTCTGTTTCGACTTATCAAAGGCTCAAACCGTCCGCTTTTACTTCCCGCATTGCAGCCTCACGCTCTCCCTCACACTCTCTAGCTCGCTCACGACCTTCTCAGCCATGGCAAAACAGCTTGTGCTCTCCTGCAAAAGCACCGAACTTCTCGCTCTCCACCACCTCTTGCTGTACGGCCAGCAGCGGCTTGTCATCTCCTCCCTCTGCCTCGCTTCCGTACGAGTTGCCTATATCAACGGCCCTCCCAAAGACCACCGCTCCCGCAGTGACGAATATTTTTCCCACCTGGACTTTCCTGAATTGTCCCCTCAAGCTTCACCCGAACTTTCTCTTGGCAGGCAGAGTGTGCACCGCCGCAGCTCTGCTAAGTTCTCCTGGGTTGAGTGGCTGCGCACTATAGCGCCAACAGTGGAGGTGCTTATAGTGAGGCATGGGGTGCCTGTAGAGGGGGTTGACGCGGAGTGGAGCAGCCTGCGCAGCCTTGGGATTGTCGTGGAGAGAGAGGAGCGGTTTGAGGTGGATTTGAAGGTTGAGAAGCGTCGGGATGACGGTGAGAGGGAGGTTACAGTGGAGGAAATTCAGGTGCGCGATAAGAGGCTTTTGCAGCAGCAGCGGCAGCAGGAGTGTCAGCAGCAGCAACAGCGTTTGCAACAGCAGATTTCGCAGCAGCAGGATTTACAGCAGCGGCTTTTGCAGCAGCAGCAGAGGCTGCGGTTGCGGCAGCAGCAGCTGGAGCAGCAGCAGCAGCAGCAGCAGCAGCAGCAGCAGCAGCAGCAGCAGCAGCAGCAGCAGCAGCAGCAGCAGCAGCAGCAGCAGCAGCAGCAGCAGCAGCAGCAGCAGCAGCAGCAGCAGCAGCAGCAGCAGCAGCAGCAGCAGCAGCAGCAGCAGCAGCAGCAGCAGCAGCAGCAGCAGCAGCAGCAGCAGCAGCAGCAGCAGCAGCAGCAGCAGCAGCAGCAGCAGCAGCAGCAGCAGCAGCAACAGCAACAGCAGCAGCAGCAGCCACAACAGCGGCAGCAGCAGCAGCAGCAGCAGCAGCAGCAGCAGCGGAGGCAGCGGCAGCAACAGCCGCAGCAGCGGCCGCAGCAGCTGCAGCAACAGCATCAGCAGCTTTTGCAGCAGCAGCAACGTTTGCAGCAGCAGATTCTGCAGCAGCAGCAGCAGCAGCAGCAACAGCTTTTGCAGCAGCAGCAGCAGCAGCAGCAGCAGCAGGAGGAGGGGGGGGGGGGAGGAGGAGCAGGAGGGGCAGCAGCAAGAAGAAAGACCTCCGTTTATCTTGGCTCCAAACTTGCGAGCAATCTTCTTCCCCACCCACACATGCGAGCAGCAAACCCTTGCTTCCCTCCGCGAATTCTGTCCCTCTCTCGCCCTGTACTGCATCTCACGTCGCTCGCTCTACTGGGAGAAGCAAAGAATGGAGTTGCCAGAGACTCCGATGGTGCACGTGAGGAAGGCGAGAAGCGGGGTGCCATGCGCTTGCTTTGCGGAGAAGCGGCCGAAGAACGTGAGGGAGAAGATGCACAGTGTGAATAGGGAGCTGGTGGATGGGTACAGTGTTGATAAGGATGAGGCTTACATGTTGAAGTACAAAGGGAGGCTGTGGTGCAGTTACTGAGGGGTGACTCTTGAGTCGACTAGGAATCCTGTGGATGAGGCTTATACGTGGAGGTACAAAGGGATCCTGTGTTGACTGGTAGTACAAAGGGATTCGGAGTGTGATGTGCTGGTGGCATGTGCGGAGGGTGCTGCTGGATGGGATGGGCAGCCGTGGGAGCGGCGGCGGCAGTGGGAGCAGCGGTGGCAGCAGGGCGTTTTATGCGCCGGTGGTGACGCCGTTTGAGGCACTGATGGCGCTGGAAGAGGGGCGGGAGTGGACGGGGGAGTATCGGATGCTGCCGGATGGTGCTGGGGTGGGGGGGGAGGAAGAGGAGGAGATGTGAGGAAGGGAGAAGCAGGGACAGAAGAAGGAAATGGGGAAGGTGGGGATGATGTGGCTCTGCGATTTTCCTTTGTGAAAGGATCGCTGGTATCCCCCGCCGCCCCTCACAAACCATCGTCTGCAGCACCATCAGCAGCTTTCAGCAGCAACAACAGTAGCAGATTCGGATCAATCAGCTTTGGCCATCTGGCAGGACATGGCTCTGTCTGCTGAGGTTGGGGGAGGAGTGGGTGGTTTTATGCTGAGATTGGCTCCTGCGATTGATGTTGTGAGGGCGGAGGAGGAGCAGGAGGGCCGTGCTTGCAGGGTATGTGGATGAACCGCAGAAGGGATAGAGAGGGAAGGATGATAGGAGGTGCGGGTGTTGATGCTTGCCCTGGGAAGGCCGAGCAAGGCCGGGTGAAGGAGAAACAGGGGTTGGTAGAGTAAGTTTCCGATGTTATAACAAAGCGTGGACTTTTATTCATACCGTACCTGCTGTTTGAGAAACGTCATTCACCTTGAATTGCATAAGTGCAGTTGATCCAAGTATGAGTGATATGTATGGTCTCATAGCGTTGTGTTTAACGCAAACCACTTGTATCGAAGTCGTTCAGTCTCTCCCTCTTGTCACATCTCCATCCCGATTCCACTTGGCACCCCAGCTCCTGGTCAACCAAGGCAAAACGCTCCAAACTCTCGCCATCGTTCTCAAACCCACTCCGCCCCTCCTTGTCAACTATTAGTTCACACAACGTGACGGCCCGCAGAACAAGATTCCAAATTTGGATTATTATGCCAGTCTAGGCAGCAATTTTGCATAGTAGCTGTGCAAACTATCACGCTGCGGCCTGGTCGTTTCGAAGTTACTGCGATTCGAGTACAGCCAGTGTCTCCCGGTGCAGCAGGGGGGAAAAAAACTCTCGCGTTCACGCGCTTGCCGTTTCTTGGAGAGTCATTGTTTTGAGGCAAGGCATTCGTCGCCGGCCACTGTCCATCTATTCATCTGGCTCTCTGCTTCCTCTCCTTCCGCCCTTTGCCTGCTTGCGCGCGGCCCTGTCCCCTCCCCACTGACGCCATGGGCGGTCCCGCGGACGGGCTAGGGCTCGGCGCGGAGGTCAACGGGGGCGCGGAGTCCGTCGCGGATCTCCTCGCGCTCCCCCCCGACGCCGTTCCGCGGAGCGAACTTTTCTTCCGCCTTGCGCGCGCGCATTTCCGTGCAGCCGTCTCCGCCTCCGCGGGTGGCCCCGCCAACCCCGCGGACCCCGCAAGCTCCCCTGTGGGTGGCGCAAATGACGCCGGGGGAGGCGGGGATAGTAACGACAATAGTAGCGACGAGGCGCTCGCTTTAGACGTCGTCCGAAACGCGGTTCAGCCTTCCGAGCGGCCCGACCACGTTCCGTCTCTTATTCTCGCGTCCGTGATTTGCGCGCGGCGTGACACGTGGAGCGAGGAGGGCGTGCGCTACGGCGAACGCGCCGTCGAGCTCGCTGCCAGCAGCGGCCCGCAGCGCGCTAAGGCGCTCCACGCGTTGGGAGTTAATCTTCTGCTACACTCGCGAAGCCATTATATTTCCGCGGCTCGGCGTGACCAGAGTCTAAAGCGCGCCGTTGAGTCGCTAACCCAGGCGTCAGAAGAAGATTCCACGTCAGCAGCTATAATGGTAGATCTCGCGCTCGCGTTGGCCGAGCAGCGCCACGTCAGCGAGGCGCTGAAAGTCGCCAAGCGCGCTCTGAAAGCCGGCGGCGGACAGTGGCTGCTGACGTGGCAGCTGCTGGCGCTGCTGCTGACGTGTCAGCAGCGATTCAAGGACGCGGAAGACATGTGCCGCGTGGGGGAAGCCGCCATGAAGAAAGCGGCGGGCGCAGGGGGAGGGGGAACAGGGGGAGGGGGAGTGGATGGGGGGGAGAAAGGGGAGGGCGCAAGGGCAGCGCTGCTGGTGCTGCACGCTAAGGTGCACCTAGCGAGTGGGGAGCTAGGGGGAGAGGGGGGGGAAGGGGAAGGCGGAGGCGGGGCGGATGGGAGCGGTGGTGTGAGTGCAGGCGTTGGTGAGGCTGTGGAGAGCTTGAAGGCAGCACTGGCAGCTGTGCAGTCACGACAGAAGCGAGGCGACATGGTGAGAGCAGGGGCAGGGAGGGAGGGAGGGAAGGAAGGAGTGAGGGAGGAGGGGAGGGGTGAAGATGGTTGAGGCAGTGGTGCAGTGTGGCAGTGGTGCAGTGTGAGTGCAGGCGTTGGCGGCATGGTGAGAGCAGGGGTAGCATGGTGAGAGCAGGGGTAGCATGGTGAGAGCAGGGGTAGCATGGTGAGAGCAGGGGTAGCATGGTGAGAGCAGGGGTAGCATGGTGAGAGCAGGGGTAGCATGGTGAGAGCAGGGGTAGCATGGTGAGAGCAGGGGTAGCATGGTGAGAGCAGGGGTAGCATGGTGAGCGCAGGGGTAGCATGGTGAGAGCAGGGGTAGCATGGTGAGCAGGGGTAGCATGGTGAGAGCAGGGGTAGCATGGTGAGAGCAGGGGTAGCATGGTGAGCGCAGGGGTAGCATGGTGAGAGCAGGGGTAGCATGGTGAGAGCAGGGGTAGCATGGTGACAGCAGGGGTAGCATGGTGAGAGCAGGGGTAGCATGGTGAGAGCAGGGGTAGCATGGTGAGAGCAGGGGTAGCATGGTGAGCGCAGGGGTAGCATGGTGAGAGCAGGGGTAGCATGGTGAGCGCAGGGGTAGCATGGTGAGAGCAGGGGTAGCATGGTGAGAGCAGGGGTAGCATGGTGAGAGCAGGGGTAGCATGGTGAGCGCAGGGGTAGCATGGTGAGAGCAGGGGTAGCATGGTGAGCGCAGGGGTAGCATGGTGAGAGCAGGGGTAGCATGGTGAGAGCAGGGGTAGCATGGTGAGAGCAGGGGTAGCATGGTGAGCGCAGGGGTAGCATGGTGAGAGCAGGGGTAGCATGGTGAGCGCAGGGGTAGCATGGTGAGAGCAGGGGTAGCATGGTGAGAGCAGGGGTAGCATGGTGAGCGCAGGGGTAGCATGGTGAGAGCAGGGGTAGCATGGTGAGAGCAGGGGTAGCATGGTGAGCGCAGGGGTAGCATGGTGAGAGCAGGGGTAGCATGGTGAGAGCAGGGGTAGCATGGTGAGAGCAGGGGTAGCATGGTGAGAGCAGGGGTAGCATGGTGAGCGCAGGGGTAGCATGGTGAGAGCAGGGGGTAGCATGGTGAGAGCAGGGGTAGCATGGTGAGCGCAGGGGTAGCATGGTGAGAGCAGGGGTAGCATGGTGAGAGCAGGGGTAGCATGGTGAGAGCAGGGGTAGCATGGTGAGAGCAGGGTAGCATGGTGAGAGCAGGGGTAGCATGGTGACAGCAGGGGTAGCATGGTGAGAGCAGGGGTAGCATGGTGAGAGCAGGGGTAGCATGGTGAGAGCAGGGGTAGCATGGTGAGCGCAGGGGTAGCATGGTGAGAGCAGGGGTAGCATGGTGAGAGCAGGGTAGCATGGTGAGCGCAGGGGTAGCATGTGAGAGCAGGGGTAGCATGGTGAGAGCAGGGGTAGCATGGTGAGAGCAGGGGTAGCATGGTGAGCGCAGGGGTAGCATGGTGAGAGCAGGGGTAGCATGGTGAGCGCAGGGGTAGCATGGTGAGAGCAGGGGTAGCATGGTGAGAGCAGGGGTAGCATGGTGAGAGCAGGGGTAGCATGGTGAGCGCAGGGGTAGCATGGTGAGAGCAGGGGTAGCATGGTGAGCGCAGGGGTAGCATGGTGAGAGCAGGGGTAGCATGGTGAGAGCAGGGGTAGCATGGTGAGAGCAGGGGTAGCATGGTGAGCGCAGGGGTAGCATGGTGAGAGCAGGGGTAGCATGGTGAGAGCAGGGGTAGCATGGTGAGAGCAGGGGTAGCATGGTGAGAGCAGGGGTAGCATGGTGAGCGCAGGGGTAGCATGGTGAGAGCAGGGGTAGCATGGTGAGAGCAGGGGTAGCATGGTGAGAGCAGGGGTAGCATGGTGAGCGCAGGGGTAGCATGGTGAGAGCAGGGGTAGCATGGTGAGAGCAGGGGTAGCATGGTGACAGCAGGGGTAGCATGGTGAGAGCAGGGGTAGCATGGTGAGAGCAGGGGTAGCATGGTGAGAGCAGGGGTAGCATGGTGAGCGCAGGGGTAGCATGGTGAGCGCAGGGTAGCATGGTGAGAGCAGGGGTAGCATGGTGAGCGCAGGGGTAGCATGGTGAGAGCAGGGGTAGCATGGTGAGAGCAGGGGTAGCATGGTGAGAGCAGGGGTAGCATGGTGAGAGCAGGGGTAGCATGGTGAGCGCAGGGGTAGCATGGTGAGAGCAGGGGTAGCATGGTGAGAGCAGGGGTAGCATGGTGAGAGCAGGGGTAGCATGGTGAGAGCAGGGGTAGCATGGTGAGAGCAGGGGTAGCATGGTGAGCGCAGGGGTAGCATGGTGAGAGCAGGGGTAGCATGGTGAGAGCAGGGGTAGCATGGTGAGCGCAGGGGTAGCATGGTGAGAGCAGGGGTAGCATGGTGAGAGCAGGGGTAGCATGGTGAGCGCAGGGGTAGCATGGTGAGAGCAGGGGTAGCATGGTGAGAGCAGGGGTAGCATGGTGACAGCAGGGGTAGCATGGTGAGAGCAGGGGTAGCATGGTGAGAGCAGGGGTAGCATGGTGAGAGCAGGGGTAGCATGGTGAGCGCAGGGGTAGCATGGTGAGAGCAGGGGTAGCATGGTGAGCGCAGGGGTAGCATGGTGAGAGCAGGGGTAGCATGGTGAGAGCAGGGGTAGCATGGTGAGAGCAGGGGTAGCATGGTGAGCGCAGGGGTAGCATGGTGAGAGCAGGGGTAGCATGGTGAGCGCAGGGGTAGCATGGTGAGAGCAGGGGTAGCATGGTGAGAGCAGGGTTAGCATGGTGAGAGCAGGGGTAGCATGGTGAGCGCAGGGGTAGCATGGTGAGAGCAGGGGTAGCATGGTGAGCGCAGGGGTAGCATGGTGAGAGCAGGGGTAGCATGGTGAGAGCAGGGGTAGCATGGTGAGCGCAGGGGTAGCATGGTGAGAGCAGGGGTAGCATGGTGAGAGCAGGGGTAGCATGGTGAGAGCAGGGGTAGCATGGTGAGAGCAGGGGTAGCATGGTGAGCGCAGGGGTAGCATGGTGAGAGCAGGGGTAGCATGGTGAGAGCAGGGGTAGCATGGTGAGAGCAGGGGTAGCATGGTGAGAGCAGGGGTAGCATGGTGAGCGCAGGGGTAGCATGGTGAGAGCAGGGGTAGCATGGTGAGAGCAGGGGTAGCATGGTGACAGCAGGGGTAGCATGGTGAGAGCAGGGGTAGCATGGTGAGAGCAGGGGTAGCATGGTGAGAGCAGGGGTAGCATGGTGAGCGCAGGGGTAGCATGGTGAGAGCAGGGGTAGCATGGTGAGCGCAGGGGTAGCATGGTGAGCGCAGGGGTAGCATGGTGAGAGCAGGGGTAGCATGGTGAGAGCAGGGGTAGCATGGTGAGCGCAGGGGTAGCTTTGTGAGAGCAGTGGTAGCATGGTGAGAGCAGGGGTAGCATGGTGAGAGCAGTGGTAGCATGGTGAGAGCAGGGGTAGCATGGTGAGAGCAGGGGTAGCATGGTGAGCGCAGGGGTAGCATGGTGAGAGCAGGGGTAGCATGGTGAGAGCAGGGGTAGCATGGTGAGCGCAGGGGTAGCATGGTGAGAGCAGGGGTAGCATGGTGAGCGCAGGGGTAGCATGGTGAGAGCAGGGGTAGCATGGTGAGCGCAGGGGTAGCAGTGTGAGCGCAGGGGTAGCATGGTGAGAGCAGGGGTAGCATGGTGAGCGCAGGGGTAGCATGGTGAGAGCAGGGGTAGCATGGTGAGAGCAGGGGTAGCATGGTGAGAGCAGGGGTAGCATGGTGAGAGCAGGGGTAGCATGGTGAGAGCAGGGGTAGCATGGTGAGCGCAGGGGTAGCATGGTGAGAGCAGGGGTAGCATGGTGAGCGCAGGGGTAGCATGGTGAGAGCAGGGGTAGCATGGTGAGAGCAGGGGTAGCATGGTGAGCGCAGGGGTAGCATGGTGAGAGCAGGGGTAGCATGGTGAGAGCAGGGGTAGCATGGTGAGAGCAGGGGTAGCATGGTGAGAGCAGGGGTAGCATGGTGAGAGGAGGGGTAGCATGGTGAGCGCAGGGGTAGCATGGTGAGCGCAGGGGTGGCATGGTGAGAGCAGGGGTAGCATGGTGAGCGCAGGGGTAGCATGGTGAGAGCAGGGGTAGCATGGTGAGCGCAGGGGTAGCATGGTGAGAGCAGGGGTAGCATGGTGAGAGCAGGGGTAGCATGGTGAGAGCAGGGGTAGCATGGTGAGCGCAGGGGTAGCATGGTGAGAGCAGGGGTAGCATGGTGAGAGCAGGGGTAGCATGGTGAGCGCAGGGGTAGCATGGTGAGAGCAGGGGTAGCATGGTGAGAGCAGGGGTAGCATGGTGAGAGCAGGGGTAGCATGGTGAGCGCAGGGGTAGCATGGTGAGAGCAGGGGTAGCATGGTGAGCGCAGGGGTAGCATGGTGAGAGCAGGGGTAGCATGGTGAGCGCAGGGGTAGCATGGTGAGAGCAGGGGTAGCATGGTGAGAGCAGGGGTAGCATGGTGACAGCAGGGGTAGCATGGTGAGAGCAGGGGTAGCATGGTGAGAGCAGGGGTAGCATGGTGAGAGCAGGGGGTAGCATGGTGAGCGCAGGGGTAGCATGGTGAGAGCAGGGGTAGCATGGTGAGCGCAGGGGTAGCATGGTGAGCGCAGGGGTAGCATGGTGAGAGCAGGGGTAGCATGGTGAGAGCAGGGGTAGCATGGTGAGCGCAGGGGTAGCTTTGTGAGAGCAGTGGTAGCATGGTGAGAGCAGGGGTAGCATGGTGAGAGCAGTGGTAGCATGGTGAGAGCAGGGGTAGCATGGTGAGAGCAGGGGTAGCATGGTGAGCGCAGGGGTAGCATGGTGAGAGCAGGGGTAGCATGGTGAGAGCAGGGGTAGCATGGTGAGCGCAGGGGTAGCATGGTGAGAGCAGGGGTAGCATGGTGAGCGCAGGGGTAGCATGGTGAGAGCAGGGGTAGCATGGTGAGCGCAGGGGTAGCAGTGTGAGCGCAGGGGTAGCATGGTGAGAGCAGGGGTAGCATGGTGAGCGCAGGGGTAGCATGGTGAGAGCAGGGGTAGCATGGTGAGAGCAGGGGTAGCATGGTGAGAGCAGGGGTGTAGCATGGTGAGAGCAGGGGTAGCATGGTGAGCGCAGGGGTAGCATGGTGAGAGCAGGGGTAGCATGGTGAGAGCAGGGGTAGCATGGTGAGCGCAGGGGTAGCATGGTGAGAGCAGGGGTAGCATGGTGAGAGCAGGGGTAGCATGGTGAGAGCAGGGGTAGCATGGTGAGAGCAGGGGTAGCATGGTGAGCGCAGGGTAGCATGGTGAGAGCAGGGGTAGCATGGTGAGAGCAGGGGTAGCATGGTGAGAGCAGGGGTAGCATGGTGAGAGCAGGGGTAGCATGGTGAGAGCAGGGGTAGCATGGTGAGAGCAGGGGTAGCATGGTGAGAGCAGGGGTAGCATGGTGAGAGCAGGGGTAGCATGGTGAGAGCAGGGGTAGCATGGTGAGAGCAGGGGTAGCATGGTGAGAGCAGGGGTAGCATGGTGAGAGAGGGGTAGCATGGTGAGAGCAGGGGTAGCATGGTGAGAGCAGGGGTAGCATGGTGAGAGCAGGGTAGCATGGTGAGAGCAGGGGTAGCATGGTGAGAGCAGGGGTAGCATGGTGAGAGCAGGGGTAGCATGGTGAGAGCAGGGGTAGCATGGTGAGAGCAGGGGGTAGCATGGTGAGCGCAGGGGTAGCATGGTGAGAGCAGGGGTAGCATGGTGAGAGCAGGGGTAGCATGGTGAGAGCAGGGGTAGCATGGTGAGAGCAGGGGTAGCATGGTGAGAGCAGGGGTAGCATGGTGAGAGCAGGGGTAGCATGGTGAGAGCAGGGGTAGCATGGTGAGAGCAGGGGTAGCATGGTGAGCGCAGGGGTAGCATGGTGAGAGAAGGGGTAGCATGGTGAGAGCAGGGGTAGCATGGTGAGAGCAGGGGTAGCATGGTGAGAGCAGGGGTAGCATGGTGAGAGCAGGGGTAGCATGGTGAGAGCAGGGGTAGCATGGTGAGAGCAGGGGTAGCATGGTGAGAGCAGGGGTAGCATGGTGAGAGCAGGGGTAGCATGGTGAGAGCAGGGGTAGCATGGTGAGAGCAGGGGTAGCATGGTGAGAGCAGGGGTAGCATGGTGAGAGCAGGGGTAGCATGGTGAGAGAAGGGGTAGCATGGTGAGAGCAGGGGTAGCATGGTGAGCGCAGGGGTAGCATGGTGAGAGCAGGGGTAGCATGGTGAGAGCAGGGGTAGCATGGTGAGAGCAGGGGTAGCATGGTGAGCGCAGGGGTAGCATGGTGAGAGCAGGGGTAGCATGGTGAGAGCAGGGGTAGCATGGTGAGAGCAGGGGTAGCATGGTGAGAGCAGGGGTAGCATGGTGAGAGCAGGGGTAGCATGGTGAGAGCAGGGGTAGCATGGTGAGAGCAGGGGTAGCATGGTGAGAGCAGGGGTAGCATGGTGAGAGCAGGGGTAGCATGGTGAGAGAAGGGGTAGCATGGTGAGAGCAGGGGTAGCATGGTGAGCGCAGGGGTAGCATGGTGAGAGCAGGGGTAGCATGGTGAGAGCAGGGGTAGCATGGTGAGAGCAGGGGTAGCATGGTGAGAGCAGGGGTAGCATGGTGAGAGCAGGGGTAGCATGGTGAGAGCAGGGGTAGCATGGTGAGAGCAGGGGTAGCATGGTGAGAGCAGGGGTAGCATGGTGAGAGCAGGGGTAGCATGGTGAGAGAAGGGGTAGCATGGTGAGAGCAGGGGTAGCATGGTGAGCGCAGGGGTAGCATGGTGAGAGCAGGGGTAGCATGGTGAGAGCAGGGGTAGCATGGTGAGAGCAGGGGTAGCATGGTGAGAGCAGGGGTAGCATGGTGAGCGCAGGGGTAGCATGGTGAGAGCAGGGGTAGCATGGTGAGAGCAGGGGTAGCATGGTGAGAGCAGGGGTAGCATGGTGAGAGAAGGGGTAGCATGGTGAGAGCAGGGGTAGCATGGTGAGCGCAGGGGTAGCATGGTGGGTAGCATGGTGAGAGCAGGGGTAGCATGGTGAGAGCAGGGGTAGCATGGTGAGAGCAGGGGTAGCATGGTGAGAGCAGGGGTAGCATGGTGAGAGCAGGGGTAGCATGGTGAGAGCAGGGGTAGCATGGTGAGAGCAGGGGTAGCATGGTGAGAGAAGGGGTAGCATGGTGAGAGCAGGGGTAGCATGGTGAGCGCAGGGGTAGCATGGTGAGAGCAGGGGTAGCATGGTGAGAGCAGGGGTAGCATGGTGAGAGCAGGGGTAGCATGGTGAGAGCAGGGGTAGCATGGTGAGAGCAGGGGTAGCATGGTGAGAGCAGGGGTAGCATGGTGAGAGCAGGGGTAGCATGGTGAGCGCAGGGGTAGCATGGTGAGAGCAGGGGTAGCATGGTGAGAGCAGGGGTAGCATGGTGAGAGCAGGGGTAGCATGGTGAGCGCAGGGGTAGCTTTGTGAGAGCAGTGGTAGCATGGTGAGAGCAGGGGTAGCATGGTGAGAGCAGTGGTAGCATGGTGAGAGCAGGGGTAGCATGGTGAGCGCAGGGGTAGCATGGTGAGCGCAGGGGTAGCATGGTGAGAGCAGGGGTAGCATGGTGAGAGCAGGGGTAGCATGGTGAGCGCAGGGGTAGCATGGTGAGAGCAGGGGTAGCATGGTGAGCGCAGGGGTAGCATGGTGAGAGAAGGGGTAGCATGGTGAGCGCAGGGGTAGCATGGTGAGAGCAGGGGTAGCATGGTGAGCGCAGGGGTAGCATGGTGAGCGCAGGGGTAGCATGGTGAGAGCAGGGGTAGCATGGTGAGAGCAGGGGTAGCATGGTGAGAGCAGGGGTAGCATGGTGAGAGCAGGGGTAGCATGGTGAGAGCAGGGGTAGCATGGTGAGCGCAGGGGTAGCATGGTGAGAGCAGGGGTAGCATGGTGAGAGCAGGGGTAGCATGGTGAGCGCAGGGGTAGCATGGTGAGCGCAGGGGTAGCATGGTGAGAGCAGGGGTAGCATGGTGAGAGCAGGGGTAGCATGGTGAGAGCAGGGGTAGCATGGTGAGAGCAGGGGTAGCATGGTGAGAGCAGGGGTAGCATGGCGGCCGTACAGTCATGGCAGAAGCGAGGCAACATGGTGATAGTAGGGGCAGCGAGGAAGGCTGGGAAAGGGTAGATAAGGCAGTGGTGCAGTGCAGTGCAGTGCGGCAGTGTGACCAGTTGAGGTTGAGGCATGTCCTGCAGCATGAAGCATGGTCAAAAGCATGGGTTATGGCATGGTGAGAAGCCCAGTTGGTTGGAAGCATGGCTTCAGGCGTACATTATCCCAGCTCGTTGGTTGGGCGGCTCAGCAACAGAAGCAAATGTGTGGAACTGCGGGGTGTTAGTTTTAGTTTTCTCAAAAATACCCTGTGGTTTTCTTTTGTCAAATATTCTGACCCATTCTCTTCTCCTCTTCCCACCACACAAGGCGGTTCAGTGACGGAAGCAGTGGTGTGGCAGTGTCTGGCAGAGGCGTATCTGTTTTTTTAGTTGACTCAGAGAAGTATTGGTGCTGGCATACGTTCCCCCAACCCATTCTCTTATGTCCCCCACCCCCCACCCTCTTCCCACCACACAGGGCGGGTCAGTGACAGAAGCAGTTGTGTGGCAGTGTTTGGCGGAGGCGTATCTAACTGGCGGGCGGGCGGCAGATGCCGACCTTTGTGTGGCCAAGTGTCAGACGCTGGACCCATACTCTGCTGACACGTGGATGGTGGCAGGTGAGTCATGGAGGCAAGTAATATGCTAGTAGCGTGGTTGAATTGAGACTTGGGAACCCCATTTCAATACAAATTGGTGTGTTGTGATAGAACAGCAGGTGGTTTTTGAGGCTCAAAAACGACCTCAGGTGAGTCATGGAGGGAAGTGATATGCTAGTAGCGTGGTTGAATCGAAACTTGGAACCCCGTTTCGATACAGAATGGTGTGTTGGGATAGGACAGTAGGTTCTCAGGAACCCCAGACCTTTTTTTTTTGTGTCCAGTGAAAAAACAGAAGGGTGTAATAGGACAGTAAGTTGTAGGTTCCCAGAGACCTAGATTCTATTAAACTCAAAAAGAACCCTCGGAAAGCAAAATGATGTGATAGGGGCCAGGGCAGTAGGTTGTCAGGAACCCCAGGGTGTGATAGGATAGGAGACGATTGGGCCCCCCTGTCTTGGTTAGACGTTCCAAACGCAGCTCCCAAACGCAGCTCCCAAACGCAGCTCCCAAACGCAGCTCCCAAACGCAGCTCCCAAACGCAGCTCCCAAACGCAGCTCCCAAACGCAGCTCCCAAACGCAGCTCCCGAACGCAGCTCCCAAACGCAGCTCCCCTGCCAGATGTTATCTCCCTGCCCTCGTCCCCGCTTCCCCTCGGCCCCGCTTCCCCTCGGCCCCGCTTCCCCTCGGCCCCTCTCCCGCTCCCTTCCTCGCCCTCACCCCTCCAGGCATGCTAGAAGAAGCAAAATGCTGTCCCTGCAAGGCCTTTGCCTGCAACTGCAGCACCTGCCATTCCACCAATCCCTCTCTGCCTCCCTCCTCACTCTCACGTTCTCACTCTCACATCCTCGCTCTGTCATCCTCTTGTCTCTCACTCTTCTAAGCATGCGAGAAAAGGCGAGAAGCCACTGTCATAAGGACCTTGCATGCAACAGCACTGTAATGGCCATCAACCAATCCTTCTCCCCCTCCTCCTCCTGTCTCACCCTCCCACCACACCACACTCCCCCAGCCATGCTAGAAGATGCAAGATCCTGCCCCCAGGAGGCCCTGGCGTGCTACCGTGTTGCACTGTCCACCAACCAGTCCCTCCGCCCTTCCCTCCCCACACATCAGCACTCTCACGTCCTCTCTCTCCCCCACTCCCCAGCCATGCTAGAAGATGCAAGATCCTGCCCCCAGGAGGCCCTGGCCTGCTACTGCAGTGCCCTGGCCATCAACTGCTCGTTCCACCCCTCCCTCCCCACTCCCACATCCTCGCTCTCACACCCTCACTCTCACATGATCATTCACATCCCCACTCTCCCATCCTCTCCCATCCTCTCCCATCCTCTCCCCCTCACTCCCACAGGCATGCTTGAAGAGGCAAGAGGCTGCCCCGAGGAGGCCCTTGCCTGCTACCGCAGTGCCTTGGCCATCGACCAATGGCACGCTGCCAGCAAGGCACGGCTGGGAGCCCTGCTGCTGCAGATGGGCGGGGAGTGGCTGCACATGGCGCAGGTGTACCTGAGGGAGGTGGTATCTGGTGATGGGTTTGATGCACGTGCGTGGCATGTGCTGGGATTGGTGGAGAGAGGGCGTGGGGATGTGGGAGCTGCTGCCGAGTGTTTCAGGCGAGCTATGGAGGCGGAGGAAACGGCCCCTGCTGTGCCGTTTAATACACTTAGGCCGATCCTGCCGCAGCTGCTTCTGTAATATGGTAGTGGTCGAGCTCATATAAAGTTGCGGTAAAGTTCATGCAAAGACTGTTGCAGTAAAGATCATGCAAACTTCTCCCAGCATGCTTTGAAGTTGGTTTGGGCTAAAATTTCTAATGTCTATACATATGATGGAGTAGGCTAAGCGGGCGACCCTACAGGTGAACGCTTTTTGTTGTACAAGGACCAATAATTCCCTTCAGGTGAATGCTTACCGTTGTTGATTTTTTTCCAATTGATTGGGATTCGTCGTTTGTAAAGCCTACATTATATGCGAATTGCTGTAACGTTACCATGCTGAGTTTGTTAGAATGCAGCTCGTGTTCACCCAGAAGCATCTATTGTGTCCAGGTTGTCACTTCCGCGGCCGCTACTGGCGAATGAGGTAACAGAAAAATCGCGCGAAAATGGGAACGGCGTGGTTGAGAAGTGTCCACGTCAGTTCCCGATCAGCAGACCTGCCAAGAATCTACCCGTGGCCATTATAGATCTCAGGTCACCCATATTTGCTAGAATACATTATTCAGGACGTTTACACACCGAAGCCTCCATTCACCAGTATATCCTTAGCTGGATTGCAATTCAACTGTAAAAGGTTGTGTAAAAAGATATTATTGGGTTTGTGCAATCCAGCTATTGACTTGGCAAGGTATACAACGCGCCGATATTCTCTTCGGGCCGAAGGCATGCCGGGCACGCGCAGATGGAAAAACACGCAGAGCGGAAGAACCCTGTGTGGGGGTGTTGAGTTTTCCCAGCCAATCAGGGCGAGGACGCGAGATGCCATGAGCCAGCATGAATCCCTCTGTACACATGATGCCCATTTCAGTCCCCTTCCCCATTTTTCCCTGTGCTCCTCTCTCGAGCATGCGTTCACTAGGGGCAGAATGGGACTGAATGTAGAACAAAGGTTGACAAATAAACTACAGCTGCGGAAATTGTGGGTAGCCCAGCGTGTTTTGTCTGGGAAACTCGAACATCTTGGTTTTGTCGTGGGCTAGTAACGCGCGGGCCGTTGGCTGTGAATGTCGACCACTGGGCGTATGGAGTGGCATTGGACGTGTTCAGAGTGGGCGGTTGAGTGAGCATGAGGGTGTAATCAGCTCGGCCTTCCAGCGTTGAGTGTGTGCGCATGAAGTTCACTTCAGTACGGTTTAGTGAGATTCCTGACAAAACTGATTTTTTGGTCAACCATTGAAATCGGTTGATTCTGGTTTTGAGGTGAAGGATTTTCATGATTCGGCTCGAATTTTTCTCGTCAGCCCAAGGCCAACCCTGACAGCGGATAACCATTGAAAACGTGTCACGAACAGTCAGGACGTCAGTAGTACCTGCGTTTGTACGGGCTTCCTTCCCAGCTGCTTTTATCAAAGACGACCTTGTTTGACGACGAACGGACCGGTGGTAACACTCGCGTATGAACCCGGAGCCCGCTGCGCATCGCGCTTCGATAGCTCTGTCTCGTGACTGTCTCGTGCAATCGCCGTCCCAGTCATGGCTCACCGAGTCGCATGCTGCAGCGGAGTAGCAACAACAGCTCCTGTTGGTGCCATTCTCCCGCGCGCCACGTCAGCACGCACTCTGGATCTCCGCCGCTCTCTGCTTTCCGCAACCTTCCCCAGCGCCATCGCTCCGCACATAGCCGCCTCCTTCCCCAGTCGGCGCGCTTCAGCCACCCCCCGCGCGTCTCAGTCTTCTGCCGACGCCGCCACACGCACCACCGGCGCGCATGCGCCTTCGTCCGCCACGAATTCCCCAGAGTCCGCGGAAGCATCCGCGCGGGAGGCTGCCGCGCTAGAGGCCGCGGCGGCGCGCGTAATAACCCTCTCGAGCCGCGAAGAATATGATCGGCTGATGGCGGAGGCTAAGAACAAAGGGCGACTCGCTGTAGTCGAGGTTACTATGTCTACCCTCCCCAATACCGACCGGATTTACAATACCCTCGTGGAAACTGCGCGGTTGTTTCCGAACACGGTGTTCCTGCGCATTTTCGCGGACAAGGGCGCGGAGCTGCGCGGGTTGGCGCAGAGCATGCAGTGCGCGCGCGTGCCGTCGTACGTGCTGTTCCGCGAGGGGCAGCGCGTGCACGAGGACGCGGGGATGGACGCGGAGCGGCTGCGCGCCGAGCTGCTGTACTACTCCGCGGAAGGGCCCGTGCTGGAGGTGCACTCTGCGGAAGAGTTCCGCGCCCTCATTGAGGTAGGGGGGGTTGGGGGAAAGGGGAACGGGAAGAAGAAGGGGATGGGGAAGGAAGGGGGGAGGTGATAGAGATAGGATGAAGGGGAAGGGAGGAGGGTTGGGGAAGGGGATATGGGATAGGGAGAAGAGTAAGGGAAAAAGAGAGGGGGGAGATGTGCGGGGCTCACGATCCACGTCAACGTGCTGCGCGCCGAGCTGCTGTACTACTCCGCGGAAGGGCACACTTTGCGGAATAGTTCCGCGCGCTGATTGAGGTACGGAGAGTGGGGGGAAGGGGAAGGGTAAGGGGAAGGGTAAGGGGAAGGGTAAGGGGAAGGGGAATGGGAATGGGAAGGGAGAGAGGGTTGGGGATAGGGGTTGGGGAGAAGGGGGAGATGTGCGGCTCATTATCTACACCAACGTGCTGTACTACTTTTGAGAATTCTCAAACGTGCTGTACTACTCCGCGGAAGAGTTCTGCGCGCTCACCAGGGGCGATTGGTGGGGAAGAGAGGGATTGGGGTAAAGGGGGTTTGTGGAAACGGGGAAGCGGGGGAAAAGATTCTGAGAAAACACATTCTGCACAAGGTCATGGCTTCTGGTCTTAAGACGCCTGGAAACCTGATAATAAATATTGAGAGCTGTCAGAAGTTTACAGTCACATGCCAGTCCAACTGTGGCAGTACCAATGGTGATGAGATTCAGTCCCCATTCTGTGGCTGGTGCATCACCATTGAGCTCCCACTGAGTTCATCCGCATTTATCTCCCACTGAGCTCCATCTCCCCCTTGCCCCCACAGACGCACAAGGACACGGACATGCTAGTGGTGATCGAAGCAACGCTCACCTTCTGCGGTCCCTGTGTGCGCATCCACCAAACCGTGCTCAACCTCTCCCACCGCATGGCGGGCCACGCCGTCTTCGCCCGCTTCTTTGGGGACTCGGCCGACTGCACTAAAGATTTGATTCGTGAGCTGGGGGTGGTGGAGGCACCCACGTTTCTGTTCTACCGGCGGGGGGAGCTGCTGGGCCGCTATGTGGGGTCGGGCAGAGGGGATTTGGTGGGGGAGATTCTCAAGCACCAAGGGGTGCCCGTGAGCTCGTGAATGACACTCCTTTTTTTCGTGCATTTGCGCGCTTCTTTGGTGACTCAGCGGACTGCACGAGGGAGTTGATCCACGACCTGGGGGTGGTGGAGGCACCCACATTCCTGTTCTACCGGCGGGGAGAGCTGCTGGGGCGCTATGTGGGGTCGGGCAGGGGGGGGGGGATGTGGTGGGGGAGATTCTCAAGCACCAGGGGGTGCCCGTGAGCTCATGAGTGGTACTATGCTTTAGGCAGCACACGGGGCTGTTCTGAAGGAGCAGAGCGTTGTTAGAGGGCTCGAGGAAGAGAGCGGGGAAGGGTTAGGGGAGAGATATGGTGGAGGAGATTATCATGCACCAGGGGAAATTTCATGAGTGGAAATTTCAGACAGACGTTTGTTCTGATGAGTGTTAGCATAAGACGAGAAAGGGAACAGGGGGGGGCTGGTGGGGGAGATTCTCAAGTGCCAAGGCACGGGGAAGAGAGGGTGGAAGGGATAAGGGGAGGGATTCGGTGGGGGAGATTCTGATGCAGGGCTGATTTTATCAGGGTAATTACCCTGATTTCAGGGTGATTTCAGGCTTTCCAATTTGTGGAGACTGAAATTTCAGAGTTAATGAGTTCTCAACCCAGATCCAATCCCTGATTTTGAGTATAGTGTAACAGACTAGCTTGTTAGTGGACCCTGACTTTAAACCCAAGACCTGAATTACAAGTAAAAGAAGGCAAACTGTAACAGTTTGCCTACCGAACCCACAGTTGACCTCCCGAGCCAGGCTGGTTACCAGAAAGGATCGCATACAAAAAACACAGAGTCGTTTAGCAGAGCAGGGTTGGTTGGTGAGAGTCCCAACAACACACTCCACAAGGAACAACTGCTCAAAGTGTGCACAGTTTGCGTACATGGTAATTCAGGTCGTGCTTGTACTCATACCGGTAGTTCTCTTAGATTGTTCGAAGAGACAGAATAAAACGCCAATATACCTAGCATAGGCCACGAGCACTTCCGCCTTCATTACGGTACCCTTAGAACTCCAGCTGTATCTATCCTACGGCCAAAATAGAAACCCCGACGGGATTGGTGGTCGTAGCGTATCGGCATGACAACAACTATGTTAGTGGCGTATCACGTATTCTCACTGGCTCGCCCTGGCATTGCAACCCCGCGGATGTCAGAATGAGGAATGATGCCATTGATGTTGGTTGGGGTACATATACGGTAACAAACCCTAACTTCTGTACCCCCTAAGACAAACCTCACTACAGGCTACAACATTTGACACACCCCCATAGCCTAAGTGAGGGGTGTCTAGCAAAATAAAAAAGAGTACGGTCACAAGACCAGTCCAAAAGAAAACAAAGCTCAGGGTGGATCACAACGTCACCACACTCTCTGAGCACAAGCAACAGTGGCCACAAGGCCAGTCCAAGAGATCACAAGTATATATAGCAAGAGTACAGACGAAGCAGGCAATAAACTCAAGCCTACACATGACTAGAACCTGTGTCAACAAGGCCTAACTGCACACAACACCTCTGGTGGTCACGAGGCGGAAGCGCCTTGGTGAAGATGTCTGCAGTGTTGGCCTCGGACTCCACAAACTCGAAGCGAGCCTGTCCACGTCTCTGCAACTCTCGCAGAAGAAAGTACCTGACGTGAATGTGCTTCACTCTGCTCTCCAGTCGCGGCTCACGATAGAGGAGGATCGACGCCTTGTTGTCAGTGAAAAAGGT